ACTTAAAAGCTCCTGGCTTTATTATCAATAACTGTAACATTTTCCTCTGAATAAAACCAGGCACACAATTCCCCACGGAAAGATTGCGTTGATTTCCGTGACAGTGCTTTGCATTTACCTTAAGATCCAACCAGACACCAAAGACTGGCCGGTTATTTTATGACCTTTAGGGTTCATTTCAGCGTCTGTGCTGCGTGATTGGCAGCTTTTTGGGTGTTAATACGAATGTGTGGTATCTGACACCACAAGAAGAGACAAGTGTGGAGGAAGAGGAACTGCCTGTATGCTTGTGCATGTTGCTGGTCATACTGAATGTTTGGTTTCAGACGTCACCCATTTGACTGTTTGTTTGTCCTAAGTGCTACATACGTCTGCATTTGTTTACTGAAGTCAGAGGCTTTTGACCCAGGTTATTGTGTACACAAAATAAAAGATAAGCCATCTCTGTAAGAGAATGAATGAACAGAAGGAAGGCTAAACTTTGGTTGCTTTAAAATGGGAGATAGATGTTAAAAGTAGGTGCCTTTTTTGATATTTGCTCAGCTCAGAGTTGATACTGAAGCTTTGTGTTGAATTGAATCCTGTAATTCTGGTGAATCATATCTTTCGTTTCCAATGTTGCATCATTCCTTTAGATCTTTAGGACATGAGGAAATAACTTTTGCGCAGTTCATCATGACTCAGTCTTTCTCATTGTGAGTTTCAAATACTCTTTCTGCGTCAATGGATTAGTGTGTGTGTGTGTGTGTGTGTGTGTGTGTGTGTGTGTGTGTGTGTGTGTGTATGTATGCAGGAAAGTTGTATGTCTAGCTGTATAATATGTCAAGGTCAAATTATTTTAAGAAGATAAATCTGGACGGTGTTGGCCTGAATATGATGGCCTTCTTTTTAGGAATTGTGGCACGTGCTCATTACACAGATCTGTTTTAGTGTGTGTCCTAATGTTACCCAGCTGCTAATGTTGGCACTCTGCAGAGTGCAGACCAACAGTTTGGTCTCTATGTATATCAAACTTCCTCTTCCTCCTGAGCTCCTCTAGTTGTGAAGTGGAGTAAAGCCTAGTTCCCACTACACGATTTTAACCTTGAGTTGCCGGTTTGTGAGCTCGGCGACCGTCAGGCTGTGGTCAGGGGTAAATCAGCGATCGATCGGCGGCCACCAGTCGTTATATGTGAACTACTCACCGACTCATCAAAACGGCTCTCTGACATATCGCTGACAGATAGCAGACGGCAGCCAGATATCTAGCATGCCAAATATCTGGAGGAGTTGGCCGACTCTACAGCCAATGAGTGCAGGCAGCTGGCAGAGCAGACAGCTACTTTTTCACAGCAAAACACTTTTAACTCACCTCCAGCTCTCTCTGTAGCTCAGACAATCCCTGCTACCTGCATGTGCTAATCCATTCTTTCAACCCATATTCTATAATTGCTATCTTTATAATAACAAACAGCTGTTTTGTGTGTAGGTTCGTGTCATTTCACGTGTGTTTTCTTGACAAAATGTGGTTTGGAGACCAGCATCCGGTGACATAGCCGTTGTCAGCTTGTGTAGTGTGTGACCCCCTGTCACATAGTGTGAACACCACGACTTTAAGACTCTGGTCACAAGACAGCAAGTTATGCAGTCTGAACAGCACGGCGAAGTCACGGCATGTAGTCTGCACAAGCCTGAACTCTTACTCACTTACCACTAGGGGTGTAACGGTACACAAAAATCTCAGTTCGGTATGTACCGGTATGGTTTTGAAGTCACGATTCGGTTGATTTTCGGTACAGTAAGGGAAACGTTAAATTGCTGCTCGTTTATTATGAACTTTTATTATGAACAAGTTCTCCACTAAATAAAATATTCTCCAAACAATACCACATATAGCTAATAACATGCCGAAAGGTGTTTACACTGTGCTCGTTTTTGTTTTTTTCCCTTGTTGCAGAGACTTCTCATTCGTGTGACACCATTAGCAAGTTTGATGTGTTGTCAGAAACCTACATACTGAGAAATGTCAGCCCACTGCTTTCGTCTTATCGACTTGTCCGTTGTTGTATTTCACTGGAAATCGAAGGTTTCCCAAACAGAAGACCTTAACAATAAGGGAGGGTCTTAAAGCTCTGGCTACTCTGCTCTGGCCATGATGCTGAAGTCACTAATTAGCGAGAGGCTGGGCTAAAACGGCTGCTTCTGTAGCGCCGCAAGGCAGAGATTTGGTCCGCCACTAAATATGTCCGTGTGGAAACCCGGAATTTACATGTGTTCCACACACAGAACAAGCCTAACCTAGCGTGAAAGACTTCATTCTGTGCACATGTGCACCGTTCTGAAAGTCCTGAACTAAAACGGTCCGGTACGAATACATGTACCGTTACACCCCTACTTACCGCACATAAGTGACATCCAATAATTACCCAAACCATTCAGGTTGATCGGTGTGTTTGAGTCTGAGTCAGAAGGTTATTACATTATATTTTTGATCCTGTTCCAGTTCAGAACTGGTTCTTAACTTCATGATTAAAGTTGGGAATTTTCTCCAAACAGTCCATGCTTGCCGCTGCATTGTTGCATGACAGTAACGTAACTTTGACAGAAGTAAATCAGACTAAATATTCTCTGTGATTACCTATCTTGAACAGCAAGATTTTGGCTGCAAAGGAAAGTCCTGACACACCATTTTCTCATTAGTTTGCTAATGAGTTTAGCAAACGACAGCCTACTACACATCTAATGTGAAGCAAGCCCATTGTTCTGTCACCTTTTAAGGTCATCGACCAACTTGAGAAAACCCTGATAACGACAGTGATAATATTACCAGTTAACTTGTTTACCTTTCCTCTGGTGGTTTGTCCTGGGAAGTCTCTTCTTGCTTGCTTTAATCAGGTTTTAATTCAGTTTTATGTGGGTGTCAAGCTGTAAATAAATAAAACAGTAAGCTAAAAGAGAGACATTTAATTCAGACTTCATAAGAAGGATATAACTTGGTGCAGGTTAAAGTCTGCATGTAAATTTTCCTAGTGGACCGGCGTGAACTGAAACTGCCTAGAAGGAAGGAAATTACTGAAACCTCAGCATTAGCAGAGCATTATCATGCAAAACAACAAGATAAGTTTTGTTCAACACACTACAGTCTCACTGTTATCACTGTTTAACCAGGTTTTGCTTTCTGGAGATGAATATAGTTAAATGTTGAGGACAAAAGAAGGGTTACAAGCAGACTGGAGTTTAATTTGTTCTATATGCATCTTCATACATGCATTAACATAGGGAGAAGGAAGAAGTGAAAGCGAAGTTAACCAGTTACAGTAACAGGCTGACAGTGTAATGATTGATTGTTGTTTACAACATTATACCTTGTAGGGGAGCTTGTCGCCTGACTGTTCATGAGTTATTACAAAGCTAGCTGAACCCTTGCTCAGTACTTTATGATACAGACCTGCCTCTCTCTGTCTTCACTGACATGACAGCATTACTCAGCTCTTCTTCATATGTAGTATTCCTGCATATCTGTATACTACAGTGCCTGTGTGGTTTGTAGATTTATGTACTAGAATCTATTTAAGGTAAATGGACCAAACAGTAGCAGGTGATGTCAGAGCTGGCCATAAATACCAGAGTGATGGCTGGTTTAAATGGAAAATACAGCATTTAAATGGCTGCATTCATTGAAGGAGCCAGGGGATATTGGCAACTGTCACTAAATTATTTAATCAGCCAGTTCAGTATAATAGTTTGGTTGCCATCAGGCTATGAGATGAGGTTGCATTCAATGTGACTTCTAAAATTTCCAGGTAACCTAATTAGAGACCATCAAATGTGAATCTGGCACGTATTCTGTTACATGACACGGTTACAGGAAATGGCACCTTATTTTAGAAGCGAATGTGAACAACCCATTTAGTCACAGTCAAGTGATTGGTATTGTTCAGGCTGGTTCACGGTCACGTTGCCATGACTTACTGGGACATTTGAATACAACAGAGACATTGTAAATGTTAGTGCTAACACCTGTGCTTTTCCATATCTGTTTGCTGAGGAAGAAGGCCTTTATCATACTGGAGTTTCACTACTGATGCCAAGACAGTAGTTGGATTGATACCTTTTAAGTAAACGCATTTTTGAAAACATTTCAATATCGAGTTTGTACAGACTAGATTTAATAAGAATAATAACAACGCACTTTATTTATACAGAACTTTTCAAAACAAAGCTACAAAGTGCTTTACATGGTTGAACCAGGGACTTCTTCAGGTGTTTAGCAGCCTTTCAAGTAGCCTCTCGGCAGCCATTAGAAACGTATAGGCTGTAGTTTGGTGTTATGACAACGGAGGCTTGCTGTGGTTGAACTGGCCAACGATGCTATCTTAACAGGAAGTTGAGTGTGATTCGCCTGCTGTAGTCTACAAGAGGAATTATCAGCATTTCACACTAAGATTATCATGGTCTAATCTGTGTGCATTGGTCTGTTGGATAAATATGCCAGCTGCTTGCCTGCTGCTGGTATGTTGGTATGCGACCCTGCTAGTTCAGATGCTCTTTCTCCCGATAACAACACTTAGTTATGATTTAAATAGCTGAGTTTCCCTGCCAGTCAGTCAGAACTGAAGAAGTATCTTCAACCAAGTCCAGTTGCCCTTGATTTTAACCTTCGTTGGATAACTATGACCTGGATGACTGAGAATCTTCATAGACATCACGTTATGATTTAAGCCTTTAAACTGGAAAGAAATAGTGAATTGACATTTATCTTGATAATTATGCAATAATGAAATATTCTATCGTGATAACATTTATGGCCATATTTCCCAGCCCTTTTTAAAATGATAAAATTAAAAAGGACAGGAGGAGGACAGGAAAAACATTCCTGTCCTCCTCCTCCACTTCCTCAACCCTCTTTTCCTACATACTTCATCCTGCTGCAGACAGAAAACTAAATCAAAATGCTGATAAGTAGAAAATTATGTCTTTCACATTTTTTACATCAGCTTTTTACTCTGTTTCTCCCACAGATTTTGAATTCTGACCCCAGTGCACCTGGTCAGGCTTCCTCTTCTCTGAACTCAGCTGTCCTCCTGCGGCGGCATTTGACTTCATCTCCTCCTTCATCTCCATCTTCGTCTTCCTTGTGAGCAGAGATGGCTCCAGCGGTGGGTGGGCCTGTGGGGTACACCCCTCCTGAAGGTGGCTGGGGCTGGGCGGTGGTGGTGGGGGCCTTTATCTCCATTGGCTTCTCCTACGCTTTCCCCAAATCCATCACCGTGTTCTTCAAAGACATAGAGGTCATCTTCGACGCCACACCCAGTCAGGTGTCCTGGATCTCATCCATTATGCTGGCTGTCATGTATGGTGGAGGTGAGTGACGTGATTGTGTGATTGAAACTGTTTTTTGTTTTTTATTACAGAAAACAGTTATTTCCCCATTTTAAATGGAATAGGCAAAAAAATCTTTTTAGAAGGGTAAAATGAACCCTAATCTTATTATATTTCATGTTACACACAGCAGGCAGGGATCATTCATTTTCTAGTCCTATGTTAATAGTAAATCCAACTTGTTCCAGACCTTTTAATCGCTGACCATAATCTTAATGATTTGTGATTTTATATACAGAAGGTGTGGTGTTTTACCCATTTGATGTCAAGTCCATTTTATTTATATAGCCCAGTATTACGTCACAAGAAGAAGAAAGAGGAAAAAAAGAAAATAAAGAGATGTCGTGTACAGGATAGACGAAGAATGGCGCTCCAAAACCCGACTGGCACACTGCTGGTTGGATCCGATTAGGCGTTTCCGCTGCATTTCAGGACAGCACGCAAAATGACACATGGCAACTTTAATCTACACTTACAAAGATCATAAACACATAATTAATAAATAAAAACCACAAGTACATATGACTTGTAGTGGCTGAATTCAGAATGAAAATGATTATACTGTCTTTGCCAGCACCTAAGGGCTGTGAACCGATTCGGTTAAGGATCTCCACCACCAAAAGTCTGAGGAATGCCTTCTTTCAAACCCAACAATTGCTAAGCATTATAAACAACATTTAAAAGATTAAGCAGCAGACGTTTGACATTTGCAGATTCTCAGTCTCTTGAACATAAACGCAAGCTCTGAAGTGCAGCCAGTAGTTGGGCATAGTGTCACATTACAAACGTACACCAAACCAAATACGGAGGCATTAGAGCATTTGTGGTTGATGCTGCGGTTTACAATTCATTATAAACACTTAAAGAATGGAATTTGAACCAGATTGCTGGAGGAGTTTGGTATTAGTTTCTCTTATCTTAAGCTGGATTCTTGAGCAATACTTGTTTCTTATGAGGCTCTGCCTTTTTTTATCGTTCACCCACCCAAAACAAACAAGAGCCGCTCTCTCTCACCCGCTCTACTTGTGCTCTCTCTCTCTCCCTCTCTCTCTCCTTGCGCTATCAGTCCCTCCTCTATCCCATTCAGTCACAGCTTGAATAACACTTACTGCTGAAGGGAGAGCAGGAGACAATATGAGAAATGGATACTTTGGAGTGCAAACAAGTTATGAAAACAAGCACGTATTTGTTCTACTGTAATCCGACTAAAGCTGCTGGAGAAAAACAAGGAAAATCACACGTTGAATTATCTTATTAACTATCACAGGTAGCTATGTTGTTGCAGAAGGCATAAAAACAACACTAGTAAACTCTGTTGTGGCTGGAACTCGGTGTCTCTTTTACTTGTCCATTGGCAAATATCGTTTAACTGGTTTGTTGTGTAATTAATTTAACATATTAACATCTCAGTTTTTGAAATGTGGTTCTTGCAAAATGTGTTTCCCAATTTTCCCTGCATCAAGTCTGAGAGTGCCAATCAGCAGCTTGATGAAATACTCACTAGAGCTGCAACAGTTAGTCCATTAACTAACAACTATTTCAACAGTTCAGTTCAGTTGTTAGTTTTTCAACATTATTTTATTCTGCTTTTTAACACATAAGCTTAAACTGCTCCAACACTAAAAACTATACTTAACATCACATTCTGGTATACATGGTACATAGCATATAGCAAAATTACGACCTGATGCAAGACTACACACTCACATAAATATGTTGTGGAAGTAAATTTATTATGTTACAACCAATCGTACTGTGGATGCTGCTTCTGCAATGTGAGGATTTGATCTCTGTCTTTGGTTTATGTTGTTGTCTGACCTGAATATCTTTGGGCGTTGGACTGTTGGTCAGACGCAACAAGCTGTTTGTAGATGTCACCTCGAGCTCTGGGAAACTGGGATGGACATTTTTCACTTTTATGACGTTTCATAAACTAAATGATTTATTGCTAAAAGTATCTGCCAATTCCATAATACAAATGATTGTTCTTAGCAGCTCGAATGCTCACAATCTCAGTAAGGATGATTACCATGTTCATAATCTAATTCAACCCAAACACAAAAAGTGCTACTGAGGCTCATGGAATCTCATCAGTTTTGTAGGTATTGGGACAAAAGAACATTTTGACATGATGATGATGCTACATGAAAACTCAGAGGCTTACCAAAGTTTTACAGTTAATCCTGATGTGAATATGAACATCTGAACTACATTTCATGTCAAGATATTTCACTAAAAAACACAAATGTAAACCAGCTGGTGGCGCTAGAGGAAAGGTCAGAGGATCACCAAGGTCTGTAGGAGACCTCATCAAGGAACCATGAAAGTATGTCCAAAATGTCACGGCTATCTATCAAATGCTGTTGATATTTCAGTCAGGACCAAAGTAGTGACATCGCCAACCCTACAGAGGATCTCAAGCTTAGGCGTATACAATGCTGCTTGAACTAAATAACTACCACTTCACTGTGCCTTTTTAAATCATTTCAAAACAGCCAGTTCTTGCACGTAGTGACCCTTTTATCTGCACTGTTGCAACAGCAGCCTTCCCATTTACATGTCAAGGCAGGGTTTAAGAAAGACACTGATCCAGTTTCAGTTAGATGAGGTTTCTGATCAGGTTTCTGTCTTTGTCTCAACACACAAGCAAGCTCTTTCCTCCTCATTCAAATACGCTCTGTCTCCCCCAGCCACCTTCATCTCTCTTTCTGTCTCTATCTCTGTGCCTTCTCAGTTCAGATATTCGTATCTAAAAATGGTGTCTGTTCTTTCCACTTACTCATTCATCCTCTTCAAGAGCTACGTGCCAGTCTGCACTCTCATTCGGCAGGTTTAGGCATTTATGAGAGGAAACTGCTGAGGGAGCAACAGGGGCAACAATTGAAATTGCCTAACAGGAGCCAGATGTTTGAATAGTTTCTTCTTTTTTTTCTTCTTAATTTTAGTGTTTTATTCTTTTGCAATTCGGCCGGATCACCAGTTAATGACGTCATTATGTCTGCTTGTACTGTAGTAGGAGGGTGAGGTTGTAGACACCATTTTGGCAAAACCCCAACCAAAGTACTCCTAGGTTACTCATGAGGAAATGCACGTACACACACGGACTTCCGCAAAGGTATAAAAAAAAAAATTCCCCCTTATGTATTTATCACGTCAGCTGACAAATTGTGTGAACCAATTAAAATGTGCTGTGCAAAAAAAGTGAAGGAGGGAGAGGAAGATGTGTGAAGCAAGAGTCAGACTTTTCCCCTCCCATCCGTTATTGGTTTCAAGGTATGAAACATGCAGCAACAAGAAAGAGGAGTTGCATCATTTTCAGCTGCTAACGTAGCTCACACTGTAACTAACAAACAAACAAACAAACAAACACTGTAACAAGGGAACTGCATCACTCAGATATGGTAGCAAAGTTCAATAATATTAGAAAGCAAAGGGCCCCATATCTTAAATTCATTGGAAAAGCTTATCATTTTGCACCTAATTTTCTCCAGTGTAATACGTGTGACCCACATCTTTCATCTTTTTAAAGGTCTGCCTGTAGTGGAGAGTTAAATTGAAGTTTATTGCATATTTTAATGTAAATGTAAACAGGATGCTGTGTCCTTTTTGTTTATCACTCATGTAAATACCTTTTTATGGGAACTTTCAAAAGGCTGTAACTGCAGTGAGTGATTTAGTAGTTTTGTAAGTAAACTTTCTATTTCTGTAGCACCAGAGTTCACAGGGTTCTTCACCAACTACAATGTAATGAAATACAGCAATCATTTTAGGGAATGGTTAAAGATCGTTTTAGATGGGGCCCAGCAATCTTGATTTTTGTAATAAAACTAACTTGGAAATGTGTTTGGTAGTCAAAATTTGCGGATTTTCCAAGGTGGGAAGTCCTCCGTGAACTTTAGCTTGAGCTATAGTTGTTTATCCTTATTTCCACGAGGAGTGGCGCCTTTTCTTTTGAGCCGTGAATACCACTTTTAAACACAGACAACTTATGGTGACTTAACACAGCAGCATCAAGAAGATGTTTTTTTTTTTTTTTAAAGGAGAAACTGAAACCAAAAACATGGATCACTGATCGGCCCTCTGTCTTCTGAACAGATTGGTACACCAGTCTGGAATAAGAAAGTACAGTAGATTAAAAAATCTTCACATTTAGCAGAATTGGGGAAACCGTGTAACTCAGTTAAGCAGTACAGTACAATTTTAGAAGATTGTTTCTTTTAAATTGACCCGTCACTTGCTTCCTTCACTAATTTCCTAATCCTCTTGGTTTGTGGTTGGAGTACAAAAACAAACATGTTATGCACTTTTTAGTTCCTGTAAATTCAGGATCTTTTGTTGCAGAACTTGTGTCACTTGATGACCTCACTGAGTGGGAGTCCTATGATCCGTGGGATTTCCTTGTTCTTTGGGTGTTTTGTGTTTCTGCATGAATACACACCAGCTTGTTTTAATAAGTGCTACGGGTTATCGGATATTGATAAGACTAACCGTGAAGTGGCCTGGAAAGGGGGAGTTTGGATTTATGCCAATTCAGCAAATAGATGAAAATAATAACTGAAATTTTTGGCCTTTTATAGACACAATATACTCTAGAGGTGTTAAATCAATGATAGGTTTTAGCATTGAGGTCATAGTCTTAGTGTTGTATTGGACTGCACATACAGAGGTGTTTCTAATATTCTGCCCATCTCATGTATGTAAATAGGGAGGAGAAACATTAGATACACCTCTTAATATAATGCAGTCCATTACAACACCACTGTTAACTATTTCCTGACAATGTAACCATAAACACTATAAACTTTGTAAAGGTGTAGAATTCACTGTTAAGGGATCTTTAACATCTTGACACAAAAGTACAGAAAGAAGTAGTCAAGATAATAAGTCACTTAAAGGAATTGCTTGACATTTTGGGAAATACACTCATTTGCTTTCTAATGTCTGTAAATAAGAAACTGGAGCCAGGAGACATTTAGCTTAGCTAAGCATAACGACTGGAAACTGCTAGCCTGGCTGTGTCCAAAGGTTAAAAAAAAATTTACTTACCAGCAAATCTACAGCTCACTGATTATGATGTGAACCTTCGCGGGTTTAATTTACATAAAAACTGAAGTCTGAAAACGGCAAGCAGCTGTTTTACAGGAGGTCATGCGCCGGACTATTTCTTAGGTCAGGAGCGAGTTGAGGCATGGGTTGCCACCTTAGACGCCAACCATGAAACACAACGTCCCTGTTAAATGGTTAGCCACTCACCAATGTTGCACCTTTCTCTCTTTAGACCTCTACTGTCCACAATAAAGGCTTAAAATGCCTGAAATATTCCTTATTAGGCTTAGTCCAGATGGACGGATGCTAGTCTGTGCGTGACGTGACTGGGGCAAATCCACTCAGCTGTTTCTCCAGTCTGTCCAGTCCCTCCTTATTCTGGTTGCTTTTGGTAGGACTGACTCATCACCAGCTGCTGTTCTCGCTCTTACACTTCAGTTGGCCACTAAATCAGAATGTGAACATTTGCTCTGTAATAAATGGCTGAGTGAAATGAGGAAAGACGAGAATTGGGTGACTTAGATGCTGCACAGTGAAAACGAAACGGCTAAAATTAGAGTACCTCGTCACAGCTGGGTTCACTCTGAACATTCGTTTTCCTCACTAGTGGATGCTGTGTCAGTGTAAAGATGAGGACAAGTCTTCTCTTTACTCCAATCAGTGTTCTTTCTTTCATGGGAAAAGAGCAAATGATGGAGGGAGGTGGGAGAGGAGGAGAACGAATGGTTTATATAATATCTCTGAGAACACTTCTCACTGCCCTCTTTGTGTTTTGCCAGACGGCAACAAAGACTGTCACTACTGATTTATTTATGTGTGTGTGTGTGTGTGTGTGTGTGTGTGTGTGTGTGTGTCTCAGTGTTGAGTGGATGCTTATTCATTCCTGTCCTTGTACAGGTTCACTTTTTGTTTGCTGTGGATCTCCATGGAGCCCAGACAAAATGGTGTGTGCGATATTTGTTCTGGCAGAGCTCTTTTTATCTCCTGAACACGGCAAACCACCGAGACGGGCTTTGTGTCGGACAGGCAGACACCTTGCTTCTGTGTTGTCACTGAGGGTCTGAGACGGGTATTTAGTGAGTGCGTGAGTGAATGCTCGTGCATCCAGAGCGCCCCCGGCCATTGTGTTCAGCTGCCAAGTTTCAAGGGCAAAGCCACCATGGTCTGTGTGAAGGGTTGGTTGTGAGGAAATGGGTGCTGGCTGAGAGCACCCTGTTAGAAACGAGACTGAGTGCATCTCCGGAGATCATTCATATTTTATACTTATTTTGCTGTACCTCTCTGTGTGCACCATCCTAGTTTTCCCTGCTTCTTTCGCACATTATTATAGGACTGGATTATTTTCTCCTTATTTATTTTTTAAATTAAAGGAGAATAGTGAAATATAACCTGTGTTAATGCGATGATTACTAGACGTTATATAGATATTAGGCCTGAAGTGGGCTCAGGATTGGGAGTCGTTTTACCTTAGATGTATGCTGATTTAACAAAGTCAACTAAAAAACATTATTGCATGAAATTACTGCCAACGTTTGATTCATTGTGTGCAATAGATGTGTGTGTAAATACAATATAACTATAAAAACAAGTTGCACTTTTATCATATCATTTTATCAATCTCAATTTAATTCCTCTTAAGGTACAATTAAGTATTTATACCTTTGTTTTAAATTAATAGTTATTTTGCTGATTAGAATATTCAAAATAATTCAGAGTCCAAGGCGACGTCTTCAAATGTCCTGTTTTTTTCCCACCAAAAGTCAAAGATATTCACTTTACAATTATACAAAACTGGGAAAAGCAGCATATTCTTTCATTTGAGAGGCAGGAACCAGGGAAGGAGCATTTTGTCACTGAACTGATTTAAGGAATTATCAGAACAGTAGCAAATTTTAGAATTATTTCAGCTGTACACATGTGACTGTTCAGCTCATGCTGAATAGTTGCACACAGAGCTACTGTATTGATGCTGCAGGCCTTTTACGGTGATCATATCCAGCAGAGTGAGTTTCAGCCTCGATCCATGAGAAGGTTTATTCACAGTGAGGCTGCAACGCAAGCTGAGACACGTGGGACGCCTTGACTCTCCTCCTCTTCTCTCCCCACTTGTCCTCCCCAACCTCTCTTCTCCTTACTTCTACCTCCTCTCAACTTATCACTCCTCTCCCTCCTCACATTGTAAATCCTGGTGGACATTACTGTCACTCTGACTCCCCTTGCCCTTTTATTCTCACCTCTCCTCTTCCCTCCTTCCTTTCCTCACTCTTCCTCCCCTCTTCGACCTCCATGAAACATCCATGCAACTGCTGCTGTTACATAATCATTCATTGTCCCTCTTTAATTTTTGCTGTCATAGCACCACCTGTTGGTGAACAGTTAAAAATGAGAGCTAATGATGATACAGTGTAGTTAACTACACCCATACTAGACTTTTACCTGCACATAATGTTTATGTACATAGGGTTGTAACTGGTGGTTATTTTCTTTACTTATCCATAGATTTTTTTTTTTATATTTTGCAGATTAATTGATCAAGTGCTCTTGGATATCTTTAGTTTAATTTAGTTTATCACATAAGATAAAGGAAAGCAGCAAATCCTCATAATTTAGATGCTGAAACTGGTTATTGTTTTGTATTTTTGCTTGCTTATACTATTGATCCATTTATGGCTGCAACTAATGTTGTTATAATTTATCAGAGCATCAAGTATTCACATGCCTTTGTTGTCCATTCGACAGTCCCAAAAACCCAAAGATATTCACTTAATATAGGGCAAAGAAAAGCCTCAAATACTCACATTTGAGAAGCTGCTGTTCAGCATTTTTACTTAAAAAAAACTGTTGTCAAGATTGTCAAGAAAGTTGCCTATTATGTCAATTAATCAGCTAATCCTAAATGTATATATTACTCTTGTCAATTTCAGCACTTCAACACTTCTGTGGTGTCATTTACTGCACTTAATTAATCAGTTCTTCTCCTTGCCCGTCTCTTCTTTCTCTCCAGGTCCAGTCAGCAGTATCCTTGTGAACAGATTTGGCAGTCGACCAATCATGATAGTCGGTGGCTGTCTGTCAGGGTCGGGACTGGTAGCGGCCTCCTTCTGCAACACCGTGGAGCAGCTCTACTTCTTCATCGGAGTAGTGGGAGGTCGGTATCTCACCCATTTCCAACTTAAACGTACCACACATACAGTAAAATGTTTAAATGTAAAGTTTAACCGGTCGTGTAGTTCTTATGTTTGTTCCACATGTAGTTTTATAAGAATTTTGTTTGTCAAAAAACTGTTAAAACTGATCACAACTTTTTGTTAGTACACCATGCTTTATTCACCAAACAATACCGGCTGTTTTGCTTTCATCAGGGTGTTGTGTGAGGCTGTTTCCACTTTACACAGTCTCGATTCCCATATATTTAAAGAAAGAAACTGGATAATTGCTTTCCATGCAGTGTATTTTTCCACATGTACCACATGGTTTTGCACAAATGTCATCTTCTCCTAACCCTACATTTTGGTTTCCCTTCCCGCCCTTTCTCTCTCCAGGTTTGGGACTGGCATTCAACTTGAATCCAGCCCTGACTATGATCGGTAAATACTTCTACAAGCGCCGGCCCATCGCCAACGGCATCGCTATGGCAGGCAGCCCCGTGTTTCTGTCCACCCTGGCTCCACTCAACTCCTGGATGTACGATCAGTTTGGGTGGAGAGGCAGCTTCCTCATCCTGGGAGGACTTCTGCTCAACTGCTGCGTGGCCGGCTCCCTCATGCGCCCCATCGGACCCAAACCTCAGCCGCCCAAACCGGACTCGGCGGAGGACAAGGCGGTGGACTCAGTACAACCACAGCCTAAGAAGACAGTCCTGCAGACCATCAACTCCTTCATTGACCTAACGCTTTTTAAACACCGCGGCTTCCTGCTTTACCTGGGTGGCAACGTCATCATGTTCTTCGGCCTCTTTGCTCCGCTCGTCTTCCTCTCCAATTTTGCCAAGAGTAAGGGCATCAGCAAAGACAAGGCAGCCTTCCTTCTGTCGGTGCTGGCGTTCGTAGATATGGTTGCCCGGCCCTCCATGGGCATACTGGCCAACACCAAGTGGGTCCGGCCCAGGATCCAGTACTACTTTGCCGCTGCTGTCTTCTACAACGGATTGTGTCACGTGTTTGCGCCGCTGTCAGTGGACTACGTTGGATTTGTGATCTACGCCATCTTCTTTGGTTTCGCTTTTGGCTGGCTGAGTTCGGTGCTGTTCGAGACACTGATGGACCTGGTGGGAGCTCAGAGGTTCTCCTCAGCCGTGGGTTTGGTTACAATAGTGGAGTGTGCGCCGGTGCTGTTGGGTCCACCACTAACAGGTAAGACATCCAACACGCATCACAGAAAAGGGAGGCAAACCAACACGTGAAACCGCTTTTGTTTGTTATTGTAAAGATCGCAATTGTAAAGACAAAAAATATGGGTGGTATAAAGGATTAGCACACGCAGGTAGCAGGGATTGTCTGAGCTACAGAGAGAGCTGGAGATGAGTAAAAAGGGTTTTGCAGTGAAAAAGTAGCTGCCTGCTCTCATTGGCTGGATGTGGATGTCGAGTCGGCCGACTTTGGCGTGCTAGATATCTCGCTGCCGTCGGCGATGTGTCAGAAATGTGTCGGGGAGCCGTTTTGATGCTTCGTCGTGTAGTTCACACATAACGACTGCTGATCGCTAATTTACCCCTGCTCACAGTCTGACGGTCGCCGAGCTCACCAACCGGCAAATCGGGCTAAAAATCATGTAGTGTGTGAGGCTCTAGCTTTGTTGGCACTTCTAGAGTAAGACAAATTACAGACAATTACACAATTTGCAAACCATAAATTGAGGTGTAATAGTTGTTGTCAGGAAGTTGTTTTGAAACTCTGCATAGACATAATGATTAATTAAACTGATGAAGTAGAGCGGCTCAGTAAAAAATAGCTCGCCTTACATCTCTTAACAATAAATTTAAAGCAGCTGGAGAAGAAACACTTGTAGCTGTGGAACATTTCTGGTTTAAACACACACAGTTGAAGCAGATGAAAAGCTGCAGTAACGTGTAATTAAGCTGAACGAAGCATTCAGCACTGATCACGGATCCCATCGCTGTTTGTCAGGCCTTCAGTTCACCGCTTAATTCTACAGCTTAAACTGTGTCTCACATGTAGTCGACTAGTTGAACATGATTGTGTGTCTGAACCCTGGTTGGGATGTAGTAAATATTTAATTGAGGCTGATGTAGGGCTGGGTGATATGACCAAAAATGTCATCATTCGATATTGATAATTATCACGATAAATATCAAATGATTATTTGTTTCAGGTTTAAAGGCTGATTTTTGATGGTTAATTTTGTTTTTAAACTATTCTTCATGGTCACAACATGACAACACTTGCCAAACCCTAACAAGAGTGAGAAAAAACAAACATTTTCATCAATTATCCATGTGTAAAATTAAGTTAAATCTTTTTTTCAGGCCCTTTTCCTCAACAAAGTAAATATCTTAATAGAAAAATTTAAGTGCCAATTCATTCAGGATTCAAATGCATTAAATCAAACATTGATTGATCATTTGTTATATTGTCATTGAGGAAATTTATATCGCGATAGCCCAACACTAGGTCGATGCATTATAATGAAGTAATCTCTAACTGTCAAGAATAATATAATAAATGTCTACTAACCTACAATCTCTACAATACTAAGTTAAACCGTTAAAGCTGCAATTATTACTCAAATTATTAATAATAAATAATAAAACAAATTATTTTGTAACTATTTTAATAATTCAAATGAGAGAATTTGCTTTATATGATAATAAACCGAATATATTTTGTTTTTGCACAAATGTTCAGACACAACATACAGTTTAAAGACCTCACATGAGCTCTGGCAAGTTGTGAGGGACGTTTGTCACTACTTTTTTGTTTTTACATTTCGTTGAGAAAATAATTGGAAGATTAATCAGTAATGAAAAAAGTTAGTTGCATCCCTAGATAAAATGACAGCTTACATAAGACTGATCCCATTGAGTTCTGTGCAGCGAGGAAGAGTTATACAGGTTTCAACTGGCATCTGTTCGGAGTGTATCTGTAATCTGTGTCAGGAGAGGAAGTCAGAAAGGTGCATTTCTTGATTAAGTCTATGTGATCAGTCCAGTTTTTAAGTGGCAACAGCAGGTGCAGCTGTTACATAATGGCAAAGTCAATGTTTAAAATAATCCAAATATTGATCCAGACCGTCGCTGAATGTTAAATCTGAATGGTCTCTCTCTTTTGTGCACCTCCAGGTAGTTTCTATAGCTATTACGAACACTACAACTACACCTACGTCTGCTGTGGCATCATCCTCCTCGTCTCAAGTGTCCTCCTCTTCGTGGGAATGGGCATCAACTACCGCCTGCTGGACCGAGAAAGGAAAGAGGAGGAGAGAAGAGACAGGGAGGAGCCCAAGGGGGAGCGCGAAGCCATGTTGGCGCCTGCCTCTCCGTCAAAATCCATCGAGGGGGCAACGGAGAACAGCACACCGGCGGCTGTCACACTGGCTGAAGTCGCCAAGATGGACGAGGACACTGTGTAGAAAATTTGAAAAGAAATGGACTTCAGAGAAACATGAGTTGCAGTTACTCAGTACAACCTCACACCGTCTTTATAGATAGAAAATAACCTCTTACACGACCCTGAAGCCATAGAAACAGTTTTCATTAAAAAACAGACCTGCTGCTGCGACGCTCAGCTTAGCTGACTGCAGAACTCGTCAAGCAGCTTCTCACTGCGTTGAGACCTCTGGTTTTGGTATTTAACGTGCCTTTGGTAAACACAGGTCCTTCAGGAGCGCACACACCAGATAGACGCACAACAGGCAGAATGACTGTAAGATAAAAAGCCAGTAAACTAATGAGGACTTAACTCTCAGGATTTTTGAGCTACCGTAAAGGTTCAGAGTTTTTGTTGCAGTACGCAGAGATGCTGTAAATCTTCCCTCACATACTAACACACTCACACTTGCACACATTCATATTAATGTCGATACAGTAAATCCGCTCACATGCTAGAGTGTGGAGTCGCTGACATTTCCAGGTTTTTATGCAGAAGAAAAGAACACAAAAATAGAAAGGACGGTTTTGGAATTCTGGAAGTTCACCACCAGGGAGAAGTACTTCCTTTTTTGTCGGCAGTAGTGAAATTTTTAACCCTTAGTCAACGACAAAAGGCACAAAAATTGAACGGTGCTTAAAAATACAAAGATAAACGATGGGAAGGAAGTTGAAAACTGATGTATCTTTTGGTCTAGAAGGGCACAACGCTAGCGGTGTAGAAGGCATTGTTAATGGTGTGCTTGTACATAAATACACTTGTGCACTTTGAGTGTGTGTTGTGATGTTTTTGTTTTTAATCATGCACCCACCAACCAGAGCAGCTCATCATCTTATACTGAGACACACAAAATTGCTCACACAGTTCTGATCCTCCACCCCACAGGTTTACCAGCAGGATGAGACCACTTGCAGTATAAAATGACACCACACAATGTTTTTTTTTGGGGGGGGGGGGATAAGAGGCTGTGATTGTACCAGATCAATGGGTTTTACCGGGTTTTACTGGGACTTGCCCGGCTCCTAATTTCTCATCATTTTGGATAATAGTTACCCTAGTGTTGTTTTTAAAATTGTGAATAACACATTATATCAACAAACCCTTTGTAATTAAAAAGTCTATTTTAACTCACTGTTAAACGATAACCTGACAAGTAACCTTTTTATTAATGTATTTGGATGAAAGGTAAAGTGTGTGTGTGTGTGTGTGTGTTTGTAGAAGTTTAAACTAGGTTTCATCATTTCATGTGACTGAGGTTCAGCCGCTGCAGTATCGGCACGTTTGTGTGTAACTGTACAGAATGTGTCATATCGGAGCCACAATGTTTGTTCAATATCGATCAGACTCATTGATCAGTGACTGGGTTTACTGCCAACATGAAGAGCACACGTTTGTCCGAGAAGCTTTCGTTGACAGTTTTTGTGAATCACCATTAGCACGCAGTGTAGTTAATTTTGACTCATTTTCACTGTCCTGCTGCTCACTGTGTATTCATCCGCAGCAGCAAATAGTCTTGAGTAGATGGACTAACACATTGTTGGTTTTGATCTTTTTGTTATTTGTTGACAATGACAAAACTGTAGAATATTGCCAGCTTTATCCTTTATATTCTTAAATTCAAATGAAAGATACAACTGTTATGTTTCTGTAAGGGAGCACTACTTTCTTTATACCTGCCGGGTGGTCATTCAGTCAAAGAGTTCCCTCTTCACATAGAAAAATGCCTCTGTGCAGATCACATAGTCTGTTTTAAGTCTGTGAACGTTTGGAAAGGTGGTGTACTTTGACACTGGATGCTACCTTTTTTTTGTTTGTTCAAAAGAGTTATTAGAAATTAATACTGACCAAATCTTAAGTATTAGTTTTCAAACCAATTCATTGCAAAGTATAGGTTGTCTAAAAGTAAATGTTTGAATTTGAGTTTGACAAGTATTTTTAAGTTATTGTTGGTAGCAATGGGAGAATAGTTTTTATCCACGTCTAGTACAGACATGAATTTGAAGCAAGTGTATGTTCGGGTTAATGGACGGGTCCAGATTTGAAGGGAAAGAGTAGAGAAATTATTAATTGTGTCCACATTCCCCTGCTCTGAACCCTGAGGTTCCTTCATGTACTGCAGACTCATGACATGAGTTTGATTTACTGTGATCCAAAATCTAAAACCTTTACTTATTTTGCCTTTTGAGGTGCGTATTTGAAAAGGAAAGGTGACATTTGGGAAGACTTTTAGTGAACCATTTCATTGAAACACTGAATGTTGGTGTTTTTTCAATGCAGGGTGGTTGTTGTGTTTTTAAAAACAGTACTGTACAGTCACAGCACCGTTTTTAAAACAAACAAATCATAATTTCATTCTATCAATTTCAGGAAATAACTTTTTTTTTTTTTTTTTAAAGTGGCAATAGATTTTTTGATGTTTTGTATGTGCAAAGTGTTTTTATGGCTGGTGAAGGAATGAATAAACTGTTTTCAAAATGTCATTGCATTTGTTCTGTTCAAAAATGAGAATGAAAATAAATTTAAAGTCGTCAGTCTGAAGCAGAAAATCGATCCCAACACATGCATTTACAATAATTACACTTTATAAAATGTATTACAGCAGGTTGTATCTGAACTAGCTATGGTACTTACAGAAATAGTATTTAGGATTATCCTGGAAAAAGAAATGCAAGATAAAGAACAAACTACACTTTGGAACAGAGCAGAGATGCTTTTATATTATATCATACCAATTTAATTGAAACGTACAGTATGTGTCTATAGTGTTGTGTAATTGTTAATCATACTATTTCATTAGTATTATTTTCCCAGTAGGATAGCAATTCTTGACATATGCCACTTTTTAACCATCAATATGACAGAATATTTCAATGTACTGCAAATGAAGAATCTTGCATATTTATTTCTTGCAAGAAATCAGAATCTAACTCTCAGTGACCGGCAGAAGTGGCGCTAAACGAAGAGCCGTTTGGGAGCCCAAAGAGTCGGCTCTCGAAAAGGAACCCGTGACTGCTACACGCTAGCAACTGGTTAGCTTAGCTTAGCATAAAGACTGGAAACCGCTATCCTGGCGCTATCAAAAGGAAGCCAAGTCCCCCTAACGGCACCTCTAAAGCGCACAAATTCATACATCTTGTTTGTTAAACTCACTATAAATGAGAATTTGCCATAAACCAAGCAGTAACTACCTATGTTAGGCCTTTGCCTAGCAAAGGCTCAGAAATAGTCAGTCAGGTATTACAACTTGAATTGTCTCTACTCTTCATTTTATGGAGGTATTAATATAACGTGTTATTTTGAGAGCTTTATATGTGCTTGTTGGCGGGTTCAGGTTCATAATTGTATTTAGGGGTTGGACCAGAACAGGTTTACATGGTTTAATTTTCAAAAAAGACCATACGACCAAACGAGCCTGTACGCAGGATAAGCAGTTGACGATGGATGGATGGATGGATGGTTGCTCCATCTCCCCATCCCAAGAAGTCCGCAACCTTGGTGTGATTTAGGACTCCACCCTTCCTCATTCCAGTCGCATATCAAACTCCAAATGACCAGTTTCCAAAGTCAGACTTCTACCACCTCAAAAACATCTCCAGACTTTGACCTTCACTCTCAGACTCTGAGTCACTCACCCATGCCTTCATTACCTCCCGCTTGGATTACTGCAGTGGTGTCTTGTACGGGGTACCATGCAAGGTCCTGGACAGGCTGCAATATGTACAGAACTCGGCTGCCAGGGTGCTCACTCACACTAGGCCGTGGCATCACATCACCCCAATCCTCACTCAGCTTCACTGGGTCCTGGTCAAATTCCACATCACCTACAAAATCCTCCACTTCACCTATAAATCTCTCCATGCCACTGACCCCAAGTACCTACTGGACCTTCTCCACCCTCTCTGTCCCCCCACACCAGACTCCGGGCGTTTGGGGACAGAGCCTTCAGCGTCGCAGCTCCCACTACTGGAACTCCATCCCCACAGAGATCTGAACACTTTCACAAATCTACTCAAAACCTCTTTACCAAGGTCATTCAATCCTGAATGACCTTTCATTGTTCTGTCTCTGTAGTTATGTGTAAACCTTCCTTGGGTCCTGTGAAAGGCTATATAATAAGTTATTATTATTATTATTATTATAAAGTAAAGGGAAAAAGCCAAAAAACAGAACATGACCTCTTTAATTTCACGAGGGAGTCACTGCCGTTGGCCAATAAATAATCCAGCGCATAGCCGCATGTAAAACCAAAATTTCTCATTTTTAGACTTTGTTTTTTTATACAAATTAAACAAATAAGATTTAACGTGTTAATTAGTGAGCTTTCGGACAGAGCCAGGCTAGCTATTTCCCCATTTCCAGTCTATATTCTAAGCTGTCCCTGGCTGTGTTAACCTTAGCTTCATATCTTGTTATCTTATTACTTTATCATACATCTTCATTCATGGATCGATCTTCTCATCTAACTCTCTGCAAGAAAAAGTGTATTTCCCAAAATGTCAACAAATTTTTTTAAACAACAATCAGGTAAAAAAGTAAGCACTCTAGTTTTGTAACGTTAGTATTGTCCAGAGAGTTACACCTTACAGACTCAGTCGCGTGTCTTATGTGTGACATGACAGGATTTTGCAGATGTTTTTGGGCTCGTGTATAATTGTTCACTAGTTGGAGGTGTGTGTGGTGGTGGAGTCGTTGGGCAAGGAGCCTCTGTGCGCTTTGTGTCTGCGACAGAGCAGCAGCAGGCGGAGCTCCGGAGAGACGCTGCTGGAGAAGGCAGAGTAGATCCAGGGGTTGGTGCAGGAGTTCAGACTGGCCAGCAGCATCAGCAGGGTGAACACGGCACCTACACACACACACAGTAGGAGGTTTGTAAATGACAGAGGTGGTGGTGGCAGAGGCAGGCATGTAGATAAATGCTGATCAAATTCAGTGGTGGAGGAAGGTGTTCAAGTAAAAGTAGAAATACCACACTATAAAAATACTCAATTACATGTTAAACGTTCTTATATGTGTGTCAAAAGTTGCAAAGATCCCTTATTAGTGTCTATAGCATAACTACTGATAAACTAGAACTAGCAGCAATTTCCCTTTGTAGTAGGTTAAGGTGGAGCTTTTTTTTTTTTTTTAAATCTATTTGAGCTGCAACTAATAATTGTTTTCATCATTGATTAATCTGCTAGTTATTTTCTTGATCAAACTTTAAATTCTGTTTTAAAGTGAGAAATAAAAACAGCTCAAAGTGACAGTTTTTGATGTCTTGTTTTGGCTGACCAACAGTACAAAACCTCAGTGATTCAGTTTACTGCAAAAATGCAAATTGTCACATTTGAGAAACTGAAACCACAAAATGTTTCAGGCATTTTTGCACATGAAATGAATAAGTAACCAAAAAATGTTATAATTGACAAATCAATTAATCATTTACTTGATTAATCATTTAGGCTCAATTTTTATGTACTGTTTGTAGTTAAATTATTTTACAATGCATCATATTTTAGAAGTTCCTCTTTTGTTTTGCATTTCAAATCCTGATTCATAAAGTAACTTGTAACTGTTCCTCTTAAACAATTGAGAGTAACAGTACAATATTGCCTTCTGAAATGTAGTGTCATGAAAAATTTGAACGGTACTTGAGTAAATGATAAGCTTGTAGAAAAATAAAGTAGATTGACGTGACTGTGAGGGACGTACAACATGGATGTGTTTGTGTGTGTGTGTGCCCGCGCACCGTTTTGAGGTGGGTTGGGGTCCCAGGCGGCCCACAGCTGGACACTGAAGAACGGGGCCCAGCAGAGTGAGTAGACGAGCACTATGACCAGCGTCATCCTCACTGTCTTTGACATGGCCGCTGATACCTCCCCACCACGGGCAGGGGGGGCTTTGGGCGGGGGGCAGTAGACAGCAGAGGGCGCTGCAGGGTCAGGCAGTATGTCAGGCTGCAGCGCGGCTGACAGGAAACACACAAACTGTCAACAGATCATACTGGTGTTTCTCAAGGTTTTAACCTCAGTCCATCATATTGTATTTTACATTACTTTCCACCATTTTCCAAAGCATACATAATACATACATACACGTTTTTAACTATTTTCTACCTGTGAAATTCAACTTGCAGAGATTTGAAACATGCTTCAGAATCAGCTTTATTGCCAAGTATGTGTACACACACGAGGAATTGGACTCTGGATTGTACATTGCTCACGTTGTGCTTACTTCGTATCTTCATATCTTCTTGTATATGTTTGAAAATAATCTTTAAAAAGTTTATTGTAGGCCACTGCTTTAGAAATTGTAATGTACGTTTGTAGTATATCCTGATGATCACACTGAATTGACCTTCAATTGTCTGTCAAGTAAAGACGTGCAGAAACACGGGTCTCACCCTTGATGGGGAGGGACAGGAAGGTAGAACATTTACCGACTGTCTTGCCCAGAGCAACCTTTACTTTGGGGTACAGATGATGAACACATGAAATGAACTTAGCGAAATATGTCTAACTATAGTTTTAATTTTTCTAAAATTGGGGGAAAAAGCATTCCTGGCTCTGTCCAAAGGTAATAAAATCTATCTACAAGCACCTCTGAAGCTGCAAAATTACCACCTAATATCTTTACAACAGCTGTAGTGTAAAAATGCCATAATGTGTTTTTTATTGCCAGGCAACCTCACAGTGATGACTCCAGGATTGCTAAGCTAAGCTAACTGTAATGCTAGCTTCATATTTGAGCTAAATTCTCTCGTCACCATGCCAACATGATCACAGTGACGATGCTAACATGCTGATGTTCAGCAGGTTAAAAATGCACTTTAATAATTGTTATTTTCAAATTTGCATCTGTGAATTTAATTTATCATTTAATGATTTTATTGAACATTTTTATTTATCTTTATTTTATTTTTATTTTCTGTACCTCCTAAGCTTCTGAAGTGCTCGTTTTGTTTTGCACTGCTGAGGGTAAGATGAGTGGAAAAGTGCTGCTGGGCTAATGTACTGTTTTCTTTGGAAATTGAACCATTTACGTTTTAATTTTCAACGCACATTGTCTGATGTTAATACAATTATGTTACGTAGCATATTTGTGTTAGTTCGACCGTTAATAGTTTTGCCAATGTTTTCATTTTAACTTTCCTGCCGCCATTTTTACTAGGGCAGGCGGGCTGTGTCCTGTGACCAATGGAGCTCGTCCAGCATCTCTATTCCTAGAGTAAACACTGCAGAAGTGCAGTAAGAGGAAACCAGAAGGCAATTAATATGTGCATTTTTTAATACAGGAGCCAATAAACTGTGAAGAAGAAGCCATCTCATGAGTCGTCCCTAATCACACCCCTTACATTTAGCATGCTAACATTAACTAATTAGCAATAAATACAAATTAAAGCTGAGGTGGGCTGGAATGTTTTTAGTTTTGCAGGTATTTAAACCAAAAGGTTTGACCTGATGATGGTGCTACATGGAAAGAAGCGACAATTCTGATGTTTAGCAGATATAACGTTAACGTTAACATGCTAACATTTAACCAAAGTATTGGACAAATTACAATTGTGACCTGATGATGGAGGTAAATGAGAAGTTAAGGGATCACCAAAGTTATCACAATTCACTCTGAGGATAAATGTACTAAACGTCATGACAGTCCATCCTATATTTAATGAGATATTTGAGTCGGGACCAAAGTTGCCAAGAACATTATTAAAATGATCAGGTAATAAATAAAAGGAAAAAAATCCATGAACAGGAATAAAATGGGAACGTGGTAGAACAGCACTACTACTAAAAGTGACCACAGTAAGCACTCTGTGTGGATCTTACCTGGGTAGGTGTGAACATTATAATGTGGGGTGATGCTGTTGGACCTGAGTGGACCCATGGGCAGGTGCTGATAGGTGGATGCAGGGTCAAAGCTGGGTTGACTCCCAGGGTTGTTTAAGATGTGTGGTGAAACATACAAGGAGAGACTGGACCTGCCTCTGCTGCCTCCTCCTCCTCCTCTTTGGCTGTCCCGTCTGGATGGAGTGAGGTAGGCGGGGGACAGGCGGTGCTCTGACTTTAGGTACAGGTTGTTGTGGATCTCCTTGAAGATTCGCACCTGAGGGAAAAGATACCGGAGGCATCCAGTGATGTTGTGGTAAAAATCTCGGTTTAAAGAAAAGAAAGAATGTAAGGACTAAATTTTGTCCGTCTCTACCTGGCAGACAGTGATGATGAGGGCAGGGAGGATGAAGACCGCCAGGGTCATCCACGTCACGTAGGCTTTGAGGCCCCAGGACTCGGCAAAGTTGCCCCAACACTCATAGATACCGGGAGCCACTTCTGAACGGGAGAAGATGAAAACCTGGAGTGGCAAAGAGAAAGGTGTGTGGGCCGTCATTTGTAAATACTTCATACTTCTTACAGATTTCTAATTCTGCACAACAGGTGGTAACTAAATTTTCTCATGGGTTTTTAAGAATCTGTGTTTTGACGAAGGTATACACAGAAGCATTTACAATCAATGAGGAAGTTAACGTGCAGAATTATTTCTTTGAAACAAAATCCAAAACTTTTCTAATATTCATATCTGGGGCAAGATGTTCCCTACTGCTCTTGTCCAATTGTTCCACACAATTATATTCTTCTATGTAGTTTGGAGTCTATGCAAAAATAGACAAAAGACAATTACACTGTGATCTCTGGAAAAACTAAGATGTTATCATATTTGCATTGAAGTACAGGAAGTGATTTCATACTTTGATAGTATTACTAAACTTAACTGCTAACTAAATTTAACATTTGGAGAGAAAAAAAGGACGAAGACTTATAAACCATTATTTATTGATAGGCTTTTTGGTACCGCTTTCTATAAGGCCCAATTTACTGTATACATAATATATTGAGTTTTAACTAAGGTACAAATTAGTAATTTATGAAGGCTTTATTAAGCTATAATCCATGAATTAAAACATCTTTTGTATTTCCAGATTGTGAAAAATATTTAATAAAGTAATAAAAATCATTAACAAGTGTCTCAGTTTGCAATAAGCCATCAAGGCTGCAGTTATAAATGTTAATAAATAATAATAATGGACATACAAGCACACAGCAAAAGTCACAAAGTTAATAATAGAGGAACTTTACAATACAGTTATAAATGTTATTGTAAGTTGTTAGTAACTGACATCTTGTACATATGCCCTGCAGCACTTTTCTCTATAGCATTAGTAAATTATTATTATTATAGACATTATTTTTATTTTATCTGAAAGCTAAACCTCACTGAACTAGCCTAATGTTTATATGAACTATATGCCGGAAATACTTTTAAGTATACTTTTAAATGTTTTATTTCACTAGTTGTAAATGAGAAATCAATAAAAACAACTTTACTTGATTAGATAACATTGTTTATGTAGATATATAATCTTGTCTCAGATTTGGCTCACATTTATTGAGTTTGAGTAACTATTTTTAATACTCTACCAACACATTGCCCTCAAAATAGTGGCAGAATCGTAGTATTTTTTCAGTGAATAGACAATATTCTTATAGGGGTCATCTTACCCACTTGAATTGAATATGTGTACAGAATGTTTTTTTTAATTGTTATTATTAGAATTCCTCAATGCAGGACACGCCAAATAATAATTTGTAAATGAAGCCTTCACACAGATTCATGCCTTGTGTCCCTGTGTCATCGTACCTGTGTCACCCTACCTGTGTCACCGTACCTGTGTCACCGTACCTGTTTCACCCTACCTGTGTCACCCTACCTGTGTCACCCTACCTGTTTCACCCTACCTGTGTCACCCTACCTGTTTCACCCTACCTGTGTCACCCTACCTGTGTCACCCTACCTGTTTCACCCTACCTGTGTCACCCTACCTGTGTCACCCTACCTGTTTCACCCTACCTGTGTCACCCTACCTGTGTCACCCTACCTGTTTCACCCTACCTGTGTCACCCTACCTGTTTCACCCTACCTGTGTCACCCTACCTGTGTCACCCTACCTGTGGCAGGCTGAGCAGCAGCGACATCCCCCAGGCCAGCAGGATGAAGGTGTTCCAGCGCTGGGTGGCCCCGCTGCGGTGCGCCTGCAGAGGGCAGCAGATGGCATAATGCCGGTCCACCGTCATAGCCACAATCATGTAGGATGAGGCGAACATCCCAAGGACCTGCAGGTATTTCACCAGGCGACACAGGATGTCCGGTCCGGGAAACCGTCCCTTTGCATCCCACACCAGCTGGGGCAACACCTCAGAGAGGAAGAGGAGGGGGACGGGTGGAGTTAGATGGAGGGAGGGGGTGCACCCAGTCTGTGTGTGTGTGTGTGTGTGTGTTACCTGGAACAGTGCCACCACCAGGTCGGCCACACAGAGGTTGAGCATGAACTGGTGCAGCGGGTTGTGGTGTCGTCTCCGCCTCAGCAACACCACCAGCACTAGCCCGTTGCCGAGCAGTGCCATCACCAAGATGACCGCCAGCACCACCACCTCGGCCACCGCCAGAAGGGCATCACGCTCCCAGCCTGTGACGTTTGTACCTGCCGAGGTCACAGAGACCACTGACCAGTCGATGGACGGGTATGAGTCTGTTACCAGTGAGACAGACATGTTGGCTTGGAGGAGAGGAAGAGAGGAGGTAAATGTGAAGGAGAGAGAAAAAAAGACAAATGTTCAGCTTTAATTTCATTGCAGGAACTAAACACCTGATGACAACGAGCAGCAACAATCTATCAGACATAAAACCAATATAAAATATATTCATAAAACACTAAATAAATTTAAAAAACAGCAGCAGATCAAGTTCAAAATAGAAACACTACTACCATCATGGATACAATAAGATTAACAAAGACGATGTTTTCTTATGGTTGTACAGCAGGTATTATGTTTACCATGTCTGCCATGTTAAAAGTTCCAACAATAAAAAGTAAAAAGTAAATGTCTAAAACACATTTCTGCTCTTCAAATGGATTTAGGACTTTTCTAAAATTTTTGATGTTTTAAAAAGAAAACTGGATTATTTTACCTCTTTTGGCCTCAAACATTTCTTTAAATAAAACCATCTGAAGAGTTGAGAGGAGAAATGTCTTTTTGGTGGAGCTGCTAAGTCATAGCCATTTGAAACAAGACAAGGGGCCCCATCTTTGCTTTTCTGTGAGGGGTCACAAGCCAGCACTGTATTGGTTTGGTACTGAATTGTATAACCTTATATTTTTCTTTAATGTAAAATCTTCTGTAAAAAAAGTAGCTAGTTACTTAAGCTTAAGAAAAAAGCATAAAATGGAAACACTCAAGTAAAGTTTCTTTCCACCACTGCCTGTTAATTTATTGCAAGATTGTTCACCCAATTAGTGAATGCCAATTAGCAATTTCTCTATAGTCCTCGACCATACTTCCAGAAATGATAACAGGACGTATTGTCCTGATTATGAAACAGGCATGAGCTCTATTCAGTTCACAGATTGTGGATGATGACCATCTACGGTTCACTCGCTCCTCAGAGTGTCGACTCTGGATGTGTCTATATGCCTGCTGCGTGTTTGTGGTTGGTTTATTTTATCTGACCTCCGCTGCCTGTAAACATCCCGCAAACACACACAGCTGCTGTTAATAGGGGTCATGTTTTGGTTCAAGCTTCCCTGAGCACATTAATTGTAAAACAATGAGAAGTGAAACCCGTTTACACAAGTGCCTCACACATGTTTACAGTTCAACACACACGCAATCGCAGAGGCATGCAGAGAGGGCCCAGCATGCGTGATTATTTACTGAGCACAAACGTGCAGGCTCAAATAAGGTCGCAGTTGTTTGACCAATTTCCACTGATCAACATTACATGCTAACTGACACTTTGAGAGTACTGAGAAAAGTAACAAAACGAAGACAGGGGTGGGAATCACTTCAACTACACTTCAGAGGGAAATATCACACTTTTTATTCCACTATGTTTATAGAACGCTATAGTTACTTAAAACATGTGATGATTCAACACACTGTTAAAGATTAAACCAGATTTGGGGTCTCACCAAAGAGACATTTCCCCTCTACACTTCTCAGATGTACTCATTTAAATGAGGCTTAAAGAGGTAATATTGTCTAATGTTTTCAAAAACAAAATATTACAGAAAATACGAATACAAATTAGTTTTTTCTTCTTTCCATTTATCTTGAGAACCTTTCGAGGGGCTCGGCCCTTACATTGGGAACCACTGGACTCTGGAACACCTTGATGCATCAGTATTAACAATCTAATAATGTCCCATGTAATAATATGAATAAGACATTTTTCTGCAGAATGAGTACTTTTACTTTTGATACTTTAAGTTAATTTTGCTGATAATACTTAAGTAGTTTTGAATGCAGGACTTTTACTTGTATTTTTACATTGTTGTATTAGTACTTTAACTTACGTAAAAGGTCTGAGCACTTTCATCACTGCCAGGAAACTCAGGAATAAAAGACTGCTGACAGAATAATGCATCTATATTAACACAAATCAGGCTTTCCATGCACTCAGCTGTCTTTAGATGCATTTGTCTTGTTTTGAAAAATTGCTTTTGACTCTAATTCTGTCCACAAGATTGGAAACAGTTATACAGGAAGTTAGGATGTTAGTCTTTTGAAAAATGTAGTATGCCAAATAAAATCTTGATTTGTTAAAACAATTATGAGCCTGTCAAATGACGTTGAAGATATTGCATAGTCTGAATAAAACCTTTTAGAGGCACCTTGAGAATGCAGCTGGAGGAAAAACTTTAAAAACATAATGCAGGCGCTAAATACAGAATCTGCTTATATATATATACATATATAACTCATGGTGGCTTTACCGGAGTCTCTGTTCGAATCAACAATTACCCAGCGAAGTTTGTTGACATCTTTTGGCTATTTTAATCCAATTAGAAGACTGGTCACCTGCTGTTGAATACTCATTCTTCCTTTCATAACACACACACAGAAATGCACACACATTATTCCCGTCAGAAACGGACCTCTCTCAACTTTAATTTTCACTCTAAACAGTCCTGTACGTCCACCCGCACACCTCTACAGCCTCATTAAAAGTAACAGCCACTTCTAACGATTTTGATTTGCCATTTCAGCGGAGAACAGAGAGAGGAAAATCAGGAGCAAAGGAGCGACTTTCTCACCTCGTCCTCTTCCTCAGCGTCCCGTGAGGCATCTGTAGGAGCCCAGACAACCTGATCTGCTGTTGCACACACTATCCGCATCCATGCTGTGTCTGTGTGTGTGTGTGTGTGTAAGTTTTCCTCTTGCTTTATCACTATGAGGATGACCTCTGCCAGCACACTCTGCTCCCCATCTCCCCACTTCTTCCACTCTCCTCCCCCTCCTCTGTAACGCACCCCTCCTTCTTCTTTTCCTCGCCTTTTCTTTCTTGGATTTTATAAAAAATGGGGGGGGGGGGTTGCTCGAGTGGGAAGCGAGTGAGTTGATCAAAGGACGTGGTGCCCGGTGAATTAATGTAATTTCCTGCTGATTGTTTAGATATTAACCATATTGCCTTTGGCCCCACTTTGATCCACATTCAGAGCAAGATGAGGGCAACACACCAGCAGATCAAATGAGACTTCTGTTGTTAGCCTCCCAGAATGATCAAAGACCTTTCATACACTGGCATTAAAGTGATATGTGTACGTGTGATTTTGCATCGGCGGGTGATGGAGAGGGGTGGAAATAGAGAGGAAGGAGAGACAGTGTCAGATGTTGTGACAGATGGGATGTAAGGTTTTTTGGAGAGAAAAGAGCAGGCAGCAACAGGAGGAGAGTTGTCTTTCTCAACAGCCTTTTTCTTTCTCACTCCCTGCTCCCTGTCCTCCCCCCGCCTCCATCTCTCTTTCCTTCTTTCATTCTCTCTCTGACGGTGCAGTAATCTGTTTGCTTCCCCTCAATTGCTCTCTCTAATTATCGAGGGGCCATGCTGAGCAACCTTAAACATACACACAAACACACACACACACTCACACATGAGGCCAGTCACGGCTCAAGCTGTTTAATATTTTTCATGTTATTATGAAACAGATTTCTGACTGTAGTAAGCTGAACCAATGGGCTTTAATTAGTTATAGGCAATACAAACTCCAGCAGAGATGTGTTTTCCCAGCGACGGTAACAAAAGTGTTCAGGTAGGAACAGTAGTCATGAAAAAGAAGAAACGAAAAGAGCCAACAAATCCCACGAAAAGTCTAAAACTAACAAAGCGTCTCTCAATAAATCCTGACTTCCTCAGTCTGACTTCGGCATATTTATTCCTACTGAAGGAATTAATCTGTAAATACAGGTCATGCATGTATAATTTAATTTTTATATAAAAGGTTCAATAATAACAGCCGGGCAATGGAGTTCATTGCAAACGTCACTCCAACTGTAGGATACTGTGCATTTGTTCTCTATTTTCAGGGGCAGATGAATCCACATTTGGTGCTCTAGTGAGTATTTGGGGCAGCGAATCAAAATAAACTACAGTGTGTGTGTTCATGGTGATGAAGGAACACGTCACACAGTGTGGCTCACTGATTTTTAACAGTGGTGGAAGAAGTACTCAGATCTACTTGGCTAAATCCTGCATTCAAAATGTTACTTAAGTAAAAGTACAAGTATTAGAATCAAAATGCACTTAAAGTACCAAAAGTACTCATTATGAAGAATGAAGAATTTATATACTGCTGGGCAGCTTCTGATTTTCCTTCCCAGGTTTAATAAAGTTTTTATCTTATCTTTACCTATATTCCCAGTAGACAAAGACAACATTTTGTATTATCAATCTGAATCTGCAAAGTAACTAAAGTTATCAAATAAATGGAGTGGAGTGGAATTTTGCCTCTTAATTGTAGTTGTTGTATAAAGTGGCCGAAAATGGAAATACTCAAGTAATGTACCCTAAAATGATACTTAAGTACAGAGTAAATGTACTTTTTCGGACAACAATGGAGCTCTGTGGCACAGAGGAATGAGATGTATCAGGCTTTAGCTGCATAGTCCCACTGAAAAATCTTTTTTCACTGGGACATCTTAGAAATATTTTTTTAAATTACAATAAATGCAGGAGAGATTTTAATGAATACATTTTAAAGAGACATTACCTCACTGCTCATGACACTTCATTGACTTCCTGTATCTTCCGCAATTTATTTCTTTTTACTTGTCAATTGAAGCCTTGCAAAAGAAATAGCACAATACTAAATCATTTTATGTTCAAAGAACTCTCAGATTCTCTCATGTTTTCCACAAGACACACCCTGAATCTTAGCATCACAGCAAATTCCCTTATTAAAAAAAAAAAAATTAAAGACTTTTAATCAGATTTTAATGTTATTGTTTTCATGTTTTATGGTATTGTTGTCATGTTGCTAAATTTTGTTTTTAAACCTGAAGCATTTTCGGTTGCATCTTTACATGAAAGGTGCATTACAAATAATAATAAAAAAATAACAAAATAATTTTATTACTATTACATCTTCTAATAAAGTACTACTATAAAGACATTAATAGAAAAATAAAAGTTTCACTCAGTGACAACAAACAAATTCGATGGTGACTAGAGGGTGACATGATTTTCACTCCTGTCCCGTCCCACTCCTGGAAGAATGACTCCTGTCCCATCTCGTTCCCGATAAGAAAATAGCGTTTATTCATATTAGAACTGCATATTCATATATAAAAACTGATCCCTGTCCTGCCCACTCCCCATGACTTTTTTTCCTGTCCTGTCCCGACCCCGTGACCCACAGGATTCCCGAAAAAGAGTCAGCCTCAATGTGGCCTCCCTGTGATCTACACAAGCCAGTGTGGCATGCATTCATACATGTTTGCTTGAACACAGACAATAAAGAAGACAAAAGAATGAGCTATAGGGGCGTGAGCTTTATTAGAGGTGCAGGGCTCATATCGACAGTGCGAAAATGTTGCCCAATACATTCAGTGTTAGGAAAGCTGTGTTTCAGTAGTAATGAATAAATAAACTAATAAAATAACCAAACTAAAACACATGCAATGGAGGGGGCGTAACTCAAACAGTAAACAGTATGATGGTTTCATGTAAAGTAAAGATTCAAACAAAGTGCTCAGGAAACAAACTGTAAGTGTAAAAGTGTAATTTCTGTGCATTTCTGCACATAACAGGAGCGCACATGTATGGAGAAATAAAACATATTGCATAGGCATACAAACTGTTTGTGTGTACAGTTTAATTTCAGTATTACCATCAAACAACTCGCTGGTGTTTTTTATCAGATTGCATAGAAGACACACTCAAGAGAGGCACACTAATATACACATCTCTGCTGGGTGAGAGAGTTTGCACATTAATGTGTGTTTGTTCTAGATGCTCAGTGTCCGGGGCCCGGTGCTCTGAACAGCATTCATGATGGACTCGACCACTTCAGAGGTGGAGCCCTGGCCTCCCAGGTCAGGAGTGTGCAGCTGGAGAGCAGAAAGAGTGTGACTGAAATATTCTCTATGCAACACATCACAACTTTTTTTATTTTGTTACGACCCAAAGCAGATCACTGTGAGTTTGACTGGATCCACATGGTCCAACTTCCTTCCAAGTAGTTTATTACTGGACATTTCAGGGTCATCAGTCAGATGTTGATGCGTGTGATTAGGGCATACCCGAGTCTCACTGAGAGTGGAGAGGACGGCGTTGCGGATCATGCTGGCAAAGTCGTGGAGCTTCAGGTGATCCAGCAGCAGGCAGGAGGCCAGCAGCATCGCCGTGGGGTTTGCTGTGTTGCGGTTAGCGATGCTCTTCCCGGTGTTCCTGGTGCCCTGCACATAGAAGGACATGGTGAGAAGAACTGAATTCCTAAACGGACGAACGTGTAGCTTTAACATTTGATTCTTTACAATGTCACTGCAGTGCTGATTAATTAATTCTTTGGAAAATACTCATTTACGTTTCTAGAAATTTAATCAGAATCAGAAATACTTCACTGACCCTTTGAGGGGTAATTTTTGTGTTACAGTTGCACACTTGCGCATCAAGGCATTGAAGGAATAAAAATAATACTTTAAAAAGTTTGTAAGTAAAGATATAAAGACAATATTAAAATCTAATTATTTTACGTAACGAGTAAAAAGTAGTAATAATAATGAATACCTTAATTCTTAAAATAAGAGTAAAGAATATTAGGATATATATTTCATTTCAATCATAATTAAGGATTTTTAATATCTATAAATCTATTTGATGTTGCAAGATTTAACATTTAAATTAACGAAGGTTTGGAAAACGTAATGCTGAACCCACACCCTCATCTACAGGGAGCATTTTAGCACCTTTAACCTGACTGTTATGGTTTTCTAACTTTACTGTTTTAGTTCAGTCTCATTGCTCTCGTCAGTGAAAAAACTTTCATAAACCCACTGCACGAGACCGGCTCAGATTCAAATTGCAGACATACACAGTTAGCAACTAGCTGGTGAACATGGCGGAGCATTTAGAAGGTAAAGAGACAGATATTTTATTCAGGAGTTGGTGGAGATGAAAACAGAACTCCAAGGAGAGTGAATTTTAGACTTATATTTGTCAGAAACACTTTCTCACTCTCTCACTTTATTGCTTTCCCTCCTCTCATATCGCCTTTCATTCCTCACGCTCTTCTTTGATGTGAATCCTCTCACCGTCTCAAACACGGCGTAGTCCTCTCCGTAGTTGGCTCCAGGCACCAGGCCCGGCCCACCAACCAGCCCGGCACACACATTGCTCACAACGTTGCCATACAGGTTGGGCATGACCATCACATCGAACTGCTGCGGCCTGGAAACCAGCTAACACAAACAAATAAAACACCTGAAGAAATGTGTTTCTTCAACTATGAATAAGGAGGCAACCATGTGACTGGGACTGGAAATGACTATTTATCTGTAGGTGCAATTAATGTATCATGCTAAAGTAGAAAATGTTTGTATTTTAAACAGGATCCATGTTACCCTTCTTGAACACCACATCATCAAATGAGCAGTGTGGGATCTACAGACGTGACGTATCTACCTGCATGGTAGTGTTGTCCACAATCATACTGTCGAAGGTGATTTCAGGGTAACCGCTGGCGACCTCTTTACAGCACTCCAGGAAGAGGCCGTCGCCCAACTTCCTGCTCCAACAAACACAAACAACACAAACACATTAAGATGTTTCACATGTTTATTAGATGATTTATATACAGTACTGTGCAAAAGGTTTAGGCATGTGTGCAAAAATATTGTCAAGTAAGAATGATTTCAAAAATTAGATGTTAGTAGATTTTATTTATCAATTAATTGGTTTGACCACTCTTTGCTTTAAAAACAGCATCATTCCTTTGAGAGACATCTTCTAGGTAGCATTTTTAATTTACAGCATTTTTTCCACACCTGCCTAAAGCTTTTCACAGTACTGTATTTAAGAAATAAAACAGGCAGAGTTTGGGCCCTTGAGCCATCAGAAACTGACATGATGTTAGCTTTGTGTACAGCAGTGACTCGTCTGCGGCCTTTGGCCCGAGCACTTCTAAATGCGTAGTCAGCGATGCGTAAGGATTTGGTCTTGGTGATGATCTTCAGACATTCAACAACGCCCGGTACATTCTGACAAGACAGAGAGAGAAAGAGAAGAGAGCCACGACAGAGCTGCAGGTATTTTATCATCAACGTAATTATGAATCATATAAGCAACAACGCACACACCTCGTGCTCCAGGCTGCTGTACTCTCCCTCTGTGTTCTCTCTGATGATCATGATGTCGATGTTGCTGTGGCGTGTTCTCACTCCAGGTAGAGACTGGCAGTGCATCACATTGGCATACAGATCCAGAGTGGTGCTGCAAAAGACAACAAAAGGATGAGGTGAAGAGAAGAAAGGTACGAGAAGGATATATATGAGAACAGCCGAAACTCAGTACTTTTTAACACTTTAACCCCACTGCTGTGACTTTAAGATTAGATAAACAAGGTGAAATGAGGGTGAAAGATTCAAAATGGAGGAGTTACCGGAGCAGGTTGTTTCTGGACTTGTAGGATGGTGGCAAGTTGTGGTTGGTCTCAATGTTACCTGGATAAACAAAGTTACACCTAAAGAATGACGACTAAACCAGAGACATGAGATGAGCAAATTAAGTGCTGATGAGCTAATATTAGCATGCTAACATGCTAAACTAAGATGGATAATGAGATAAACATTATACCTGATCAGCATGCTGGCATGTAGCTCAACTCACAGAGACATGGCTGTAGAATCATGGCTTTCTTTTTAAAGTAATAAAATAAAATAGGCTCAATTGTCAGTTTATTAGGTACACCTTGCTAAAACTAATGCAGCCTTACAAATGTACTGCAGTACATCCTTCTTCTATAACTCCATGTCCACTCCGTTTATATCAACGAGGGGAGGCTAAATAAGAGAAACTTCTGTAAATACAACACAATATAATTCCACACATCCTCTAAAATGATCACACAGTTGATTCAACACCTTCTTCATGAAGGTAAGATTTACTGCAGCACTATTGTATTAGACTGCATTAGTTTTTGCTAGATGTAACTGGCAATTGAGTGTGTGGGACATTTATAAAGTCTCAGTAGTCTGAGATGATCTAATGAAAGTGGGAAGTTTATTCAACAGTCTTGGAACCACAACCGAAAAGGCACGATCACCCTTTGTATTCAATCGAGCCTGTGGAAAAAATAAAAATCTAAGGTGCCTGGAAGAGTGATACAGCATGAGGAAATCAGTCTGTGCAAAACCTTAAAACAATTAAAAGCACCTTCAAATTGACTCTATATTTGACTGGTAACAAGTAAATAGAGGCCAGTATCAGAGAGATGTGTAAAAACATGTTTCACACCTTTTAGTGCAACTCCATTGCGCCTTATGGCCGTTATGGCATCATTGATGTCATCTTCTGAGGCCACAGACGAGTCCACATTGACAACCTCAAAGTCCACTGGCACACAGCAGAACCTGATAATAAAAAACAGATGGAGATCACTTCAGTATGACAGAACTGAGTAATTTCATGACTGTATGAGTCAGTTACTGACTTCTTTCCAACACTGTGCGTGTGTGTGAATTCTCACCGAAAGAGTTCACGCACGTGGTTGGCCAGCTCTGGTCCGATGCCATCTCCTGGAATCAGAGTCACGGTGTGTCTGCCTCCATACCGTGCCGGTGGAGGCTGTAATGTAATACACATAACAAAAACACCGAAAGTCAAACGCCTGCCCATAAAATCCAGTAGATGCACAGAGAACACTACACTACACTACACTACACTACAGAGAAGACTCTAAGCTACCGGAACGACAACTGAACAAACGTGAACTCATTTGCCGTTTCTAATAAATTCTCATACATGACTTTATGCAACACCGCTGTCTGTGTGTCGTGAGCAGCCATACTCACTATAATCTGGCGTGGGTGGATGGAGGAAGGAGGGATGCAGAACGTAGGAGAGAAAACAGGGAGGTTAGGGGGAGAAAGAGGAGGGGGAAGACACACAGCATCTTCCTGGTTGCATCACAAGCACACTGATGAGACAAAACAACGTGTGGACATGCTGTAAAGACATGCTGATATAACAGTGGGGTTGTCAGGTAAAAAAGGCCATCAGGTAAACCTAGTGTGGGTGTGTTGACTGAGCTGTTGAAGTGATGAACTAGCTTTTAAATGTTCATATTTTAAGCATCTTTGTATCCTGAATAACTTACAGTGTACGTGGACTTGTGTCTCTGGTGACATGTAGCTGCACCATAAATCTGTGAATACATAGAAAAGGTGGTTATTTCACAAGCTTATGTATCAAATCTACACAGTGTCCTGACCATAGACTGTATATAAAAAGGTCCTGACATTAATTTGTGAGTTTAGTTACTATATTTGTGTAGATAAGATTGCTACAGTGAAGAAATTCATTATCAATCGTATTTCAGCTCTAAGTGAGTTTATATTTGACAGAGCTGTGGTCTTTTAGAAATGTATTGGTAACATTGGACAATGTCTGCTGGCTCACACTTACTGCCACACTACTGTACAAACATTTTCTGTACTATATGCTTTCACATACTATACTTTTGTCCCTACAGTATATACATTATCTCATCTACAGTGTTTACACCGTATTCATATCATAGCTCCAGCTGTGTATTCTGTGTATAATTTCTCACTCTATGTATTTTGCCTACTGTAACTGCTGCATATATTGTACCTTTCTGTATCTTACCTTATTCATAAATAGGGGAGAGTGGGTGAGTTGAGCCAGTTTTTACTTGAGACATTTAAAAAAAAAATTTTGTCTCCAACGAAAATCTGTAAACATTTTTCAGGAGCATGGCATGATGGTTTCTGGGTAAAAAAATTCATGTCACATCATTTCGGTGATAAAATATATTAATGCAATGTAGAATAACAACTATCTGGCTCAACTTCCCCCAGGTCTTTAGACTCAAATTGCCCGATCCCTGCCATTTTAATCCAGCTGTTTAGAGGTAATGTCATGCTAACAGTATAGCCTCATACTGTAACTTCCTAAAGCACTAACACGTGTGAGATTTGTTCAAACGTGTCTGTAATTGTTTAGACACATGAATCATGACTCCTCCTCCAAGCACATTTTTAACTTAAATGTGCTTATCACTTTTATATGGGTATTATATGGGTCTCTCTCTGTCACAGGGTGAGTAAAATTGATGACTCTACAAAAATGTGTGGTCACATTACCAATTTTGGTCTAGGGTTACCCAGAAACAAGGGCTGGCTCAACTTCCCCACAGGCTCAAATTACCCCGCTCTCCCCTACCACTTACTTTTTACTCTACACTCACTGGCCTCTTTAGGGACTCCTTTCTAGTGCCGGGTTTGCCTTCAGAACTGCCTTAATTCTTCATGGCATACTTTCAACCAAGTGCATTCCTTAAGAGACTTTGGTCTATTGTGACATGATAGCATCACGCAGTTGCTGCAGATTGTCTGCTGCACATCCATGATGCGAATCTCCCGTTCCACCACAACCCAAAGGTGCTCTTTTGGATTGAGATCTGGTGACTGTGGAGGTCATTGGAGTACAGTGACTCATTGTCATGGTCAAGAAACCAGTTTGAGATGATCTGAGCTTTGTGACGTGGTGCATTATCCTGCTGTAATTAGCCATCAGAAGATGGGTACACTGTGGTCATAAAAGGATGGACATGGTCAGCAACAATACTCATGAAGGCTGTCACGTTTAAACAATGCTCAATTGGTACAAAGGGGCCCAAAGTGTGTCTATTTTTCGTACCATTCTCTGTAAACCCTAGAGATAGTTGTGCATGAAAATCCTAGTAGATCAGCAGTTTCTGAAATACTCAGACCAGCCCGTCTTGCACAAACAACCATGCCATGATCAAAGTCACTTAAATCCCCTTTCTTCCCTATTCTGATGCTTTTTACTTCAGCAAGCTGTCTTGACCACTCTAAATCCTTAAATGCATTGAGTTGCTGCCATGTGTTTGGCTGATTAACTATTGTGTTAATAAGCAACTGAACAGGTGTACCTAATAAAGTGGCTGGTGAATTTCGTTTTGATAGATATTGCACATTTTCTGTTCATCTAATAAACCTCATTTCACTACTGAAATATTAGTGTGTTTCAGTTATTTGATAGCTCAAAATGAAATTGCTGATCCAAACACCCAATTATTTATGAATGAAAATCATGGAAATTGTCAGGGGTGCCTAAACTTTTGCATACGACCACATTACTGTGCACTTTACTGGTTTTTGCACTTCAGGTTTGATGCTAAACTGCATTTCATTGTGTCATAACTTGCAATAAAGTTAAAACTAATCTAAATAAAACACTCAACAAGCGTAATATATTTATTAACTGGCAACCATTGGTCAATGAGACCCTGTTGCATTAGTCTGAATAATTTATGACTCTGCAGGGAAGCATGAATGTACAGCCTTATCTCGCTTGGGACGAAAAAAAAGGAGAAAAGAAGAATGCTGCTCAAGTAGTTCACAGTAAAAACTTCGGTTGACATCAAGTTGACAGCAGCAGACAAGCGTGGTGCTGAAAGGACAGCGACATAAACCCAGCTAGCTCAGTTTTAGCCAACGAAACCATCCGTTAATCAGCTTAGCTAGTCTCGCCGCTGTTCTAATCAATTAACAAGTAGCGATAAATCACTTCAAATGTCAAAACAAAGTCTGTTTAACGCTTAACTCTCTGCTGGTGGATTCAGAGACTGTTCCTACCCTGGACAACTGGTTGCAGTACACGGGCTTCAGGGCTCCGGACAGGAACCGCACAGACCGGGCCGTCATGTTCACTTTCACCGCGGATGGATGGCCGACACGGGGGCGTGCTGCGCGCTCACCGTTAATCTCTCTCTGTCTCACACACAATCTCCCTCATCCACAAATGGATTATTAACCGATGTCGGGTTTTTTTTTTATAATCAGTGAGGATCTTTCTACAGTCTATGGGGTGGATAGTGAAGTAAAGCAACTCTAACAGTCAGCCCGGTGGCCTAGTTAGCTAGTTTGTTCCACATTCACCCCCAAAAGCCCCCAAAACAGCACTGAAATGAACCACAGGGAGGCGACATAAACACAAAGAGTATAACATGAACGGGACAGCGCCATTCTACCTGTTACACCACTCATTTTCTATGTATTAAGTAACAACTATCGCGTGTTTGGTTTATAAATTCGCTGGTTTCCATTTAAAGTAAACACTTAAAAGTACTTCTACAAAGGCGGGGACTGTAGCTTTAGCATTGGTGGATCACAACAGGAGTCGGCTACCGTTATAATATGAATATGTACATGTTGATATGTAAGAGGGGAGATTATCAGTAGAGCATTCAGGAGGGGTAACGGCCAAATAACGGCGGTTGTACTTGAATCACTTGTGGGCCACTTGGAGAAATTCTACTCTCCAGCTTTTTTATCCTCGTTCAACCGTCGGAATCAGTATGCCGGTAGTTGTAGTTTCTTTTCGCTTCTCGCCACAGTTTTTATGGTCGGGCGTGATGCAGTAATTGGACTACATTTCCCAGCGGCCACGTGACCGCGCCTCCTCCCTTCCCTCCCCTCTGCCTTCCCTCCCACTTTACTGGGCCGCGAGGAAGTCGCAAGATGGCTGATGTCGCTTGGAAGTAATGTTCCCCTCTGCAACATGAAGCCGTGAGTGTGGAAGAAAGCGAGGGAGGCACCATCGGGCTTTTATTTTTATTTTATTTTAGTTACTTTTCTTTTATTTCGTCAAACATCCATCTCATTCCGCGTCGTGTCCACCCCGGGCTTGTCTTCGGGAGTTGACGCGTCAAATCACGCCGGGGACCCTGCCAGCAGCTAACAGCTAGCAAATGTTAGGACAGCTAGCCAGTCAGACAGGCACACAGCTTGTTAGTTTGTTTTAAATTGATATCCGTGATACCTCCGAGCCAGCAAGCTACTGCTAAACACGTGCTGAAATTTGCCTGAGGTAGCGCAGAATAAATGTCAGATATTTTAGCTGTCGGATATAAATAACGATTTTGCAAGCTGCTCGGTTTAACATCATGTCCGCGAACTGGCCATCCAGCCTGTGGGATGCTAACTAATGCGCAGTATTGCATCTGTTTCATGTGCACAAACCAGCAGGATAAATAGTTTGTAGGCATTTCTCAATAATATCATAACCTTGCTGCATTTCCGTTATTTGCTGCCAATTGCATTTTAAACCGGTTATGTTACAGCCAAATTATGGGAGCAGGAAATATGTTGAACTTTTTCGAGTTGTAGGTAGCTACACTGGCCTTGCTGGCATCTAACCAAAAATCCACAGGGATGGACACTAAACTGAGCACCCACGACCAAAACTGAGAAAGTGGCATTTTCGATATCTCGTACTAGGTAACGACAGCTGACACACTCGTACAGCGAGGCGAGGTGACTCATTTCACTAGTCTGGGTGACAGATAAGTTGATTTGCAGGGTTAACTAAACTACAGTTAGTCACTACATCGGAGACCAGTTAGCTTGCTGAAGTGCATAGCTAGCTGCTGTCTCGCCCCACATCACATTACAAACACGGCGTACAGAACGTATTCAGAGCCCGCTCCCGGCCAGACACACAGGCTCAACAACACCGTCATGGGAGTGCAGGGTTTTCAAGAGTATTTAGAGAAGCGGTGTCCCGGGGCCGCAGTCCCGGTGGACCTCCTGAAGCTTGCCCGAACCGCGGCCCGCCAGCCCCCTCACCACCATCACCCACACCACCACCCACATCACCCCGGGCCCATGCCTCCCCCGCCCCCGCCTGCCAGGATCCTAATCGACGCTGACTCCGGCCTGCAGCGCCTCTACGGCGGCTACCAGACGGACTGGGTGTGCGGGGGCGAGTGGAACGCTATGCTGGGCTACCTGGCTGCCCTGTCACAGGCGTGCCTGTACCAGGGTGGCCTGGAGCTGGTCGTGGTTTTCAACGGCACACTGGGGAAGGAGCGTTGGCCCGAGTGGGCGCGGCGAGCTCAGGGCCAGCGACAAACGGCGCAGCTGATAGTCAACCACGTCGGCAGCAAGGCCACCCCGCCTCCACGGGCATGGTTCCTGCCCCCGGCCTGCCTCAGCCACTGCGTCCGCCTCGCCATGTTCCGCTTCCGAGTGCGGGTGAGCAATGTGAAGTTGTTTTATTGTGGTCATATGGCCTGCTGTTCATTTAACACTTTCTCTGTCTTGTTGCACGCCCGTCGTAGTAGCTTACATCATGTTTTAACTCCTTCAAGTTGGTGGCAAGTGCAAGTACCAACCATAACCACTGACACAAATCAATCTGGAATAATGTTTAATATTTAATGTCATCCTTATTCAAGAGGGGTTAGAAACTGGTATTGTACAGCATGACCTAGTCTAGCCTATATATTACATAACATGAACTAAATGAACCTGGGGTATTGTTGAACAACTGCTGAGTGGATATTTATAGGTCCCCGGTGCCTGACAGAGGGACATTTGTAATTACTTGTTTTATGCATTTCAGTTGGTTGGTTGCTGATTGAGAATATTTAAATTAAAAAGTTTCTGCTTTATATTTGCTCTGATATAAAATAAAATAGGGCAAGATGGATGTACTGTATCTACCTTACTACTAATATTAGCCTTTTCTGTAGAATACAGTAAGCTGCCAAAGCAGACATCTCGGTATGGGGCAACATGATGTGTTTAGAAAAAAGATAATGTTATTCATAAGGTTATGTTAATGGGCTGCCATAAATGCAGCTAAACTGCTGATTGCCTCTCAATGTTCCCTCCTGTCGACTTGACCTAGCTGTCTTTTTTGGCCTTTGATCTACCTTCCCATCTGCTTGCATGCTAGTATTAAAAAGAACACAATGCCGTAGTGTATGAGAGGATACTTGGTAGAATAGAAAAATCCCACCCACATCACAGCACAACACATTCTGATGCTCCTTGTGCATGCAAAGCATCATTACTCACAGTTCTCATGTGTACTTGTTTTTCCTACCTGTATTCTGAGATACAGTCCTATTTCTGCAGCTTCAAGTATCTCACCTCTGCTTGAATGACACCTTTACTAAAGTCTGCTGTTTATCTCTTTAGTGTCCTACTCAGCTTTACATGTACTGCATGTTTAGTCTGTGTCTTTTTGAATGATTGCATATATTATTCTGGTTGTTGAAATTGGTTTTTAGTTTCAGTTTTATTATTGGTGAATGATACAAGAAATATTAAGCAGTTTGAACAAGTCTGTTATAAAACAATTCCCCCTATAATCAGCCTTATGCATTTGATCAGTAGTTCACTAAATAGATTTTTTAATGAATTAACTGAATGTAATTATTTAGTTTTCACACTGAGCCACACTGACGTAGGTTAACAAGATTAACATAACAATTTTGTCACAATTGTGGAGCTCTCCGTGGCATAACCATGCACCTCACCCTCTAATTGGTTTCTACATCAGTGTGCTCTGAAGCAATTTTATTACCTTGGGTCCATGTATCTGCATCACAACCAGTGAGTTGGAACTGATTGGTACAGCACACATTTTCCACAAATGTATTTTAGCAAACAAACATTGGTTTGCTTTCATGGGCCATGTAACTTAAGTATTTTGTTGGTATACAAAAGTGTCAAGTGTCAGCACCACTGGTCATCTGTGGTCTCGATCATGATTATAAAATGAGTATATTGCAAGGACTGCTGGCATGGTAGCTGGTCAGTTTCACAGATGCCAGTTGATCTTTTATTCCGTTAAGGATGTTGTTCCATGGTCTTAGTGGCTGTAAACAGAAACAGCTCCTGAAGGGCTGCAGCTAATAATAATTTACATTATGGACTGATCTGCCAGTTCTTTTCTTTATAACAACTGTCATAACAATTTCATCTTCATATTACTTGTTTTGTTCGACCAACAGTCCAAAATGCAAAATACTCAGTTTTCAATAATTTAATACAGAGAAATCCTCCCATTGGAGAAGCTGGAACTGTGTAAAGTTTGGCATTTCTGCCTAAACGAGTATCAAAATAGTTAATAATTTTCTCTTGATAAGTGAATCGACTAATCATAGAAGCTGTAAACTACTGTGCTGCTGTTATTTGAAAGATGACAATAATATCAAAATCTGACACATGACAAACGTTGTTAATGCTGACAGAATGCAAACCATTTCAAAAGGAGGTGCCATGTGTCAAACTCCTTCTTGAGTTTGTGTTTCTACGACACAGCAGACTGAGTTTGTCCACTCTGCATCTACAGGTTGTACAGACTTTGGAGGACCACCACCAGGAAGTGCTGTCTCTGTACAGGGACTTTGGATTTGCTGGCCTGATTGCTCAGGATTCAGAGTTTGCTCTCTGCAACGTACCCGCCTACTTCTCGTCGCACGCACTCAAACTGAGCTGGAACGGCAAGAACCTGACCACACATCAGTACCTGCTGTCTGAGGCCGCCAGGCAGCTCGGGCTCAAGACACAGCACCTGCCCTGCTTCGCTGCTCTGCTCGGTAACGAGAAGCACGCACTCACAAACCTCAGCCTACACATACAAATACACAAAATCAAACACGTATCCCATATTTCGCTCTTTGAAAAACACACCCCTATTTGTGAGTTGCTTTTTTGGCGCCCCTCTTTGTCTGTCTGTCGTTCTTGTTCGTTGGCACAGCAGGCATTTGAAAGAGTCTCTGTCTTGCAGGAAATCATATTCTGCCTGATGAGGACCTGGCTGCCTTCCACTGGAGTCTGCTGGGACCAGAACACCCACTAGCTTCTCTCAAGGTATCGTAAACTTCGCTAAAAGTTCACAGTCCTCTGCCATGCCAGTCTGTGGGACATGTTTTTCTTTCTAATTTCACAATAAAATCCATGTAGCAGTTTAGAGGTATGATGCTTTCCTATCAGTGTTGACTTTTATAAAGAAAGCAGGTAGAACGTAGTTTTATTTGTTACATTATAACAGGTTGTAAAGTGAAATAAAGTTTGCCTCTCCTTTCTGCTACATAGAGTGGGGAACGCTTGATTGTGTTTTTATGTGGTGCAGCAGTAACAATGTATTATCGACATCTTAAAATCATAAACTTGATAGAAATGATTGGAATGAATGAGTGAAATTTTAGTAATAGAGAGAAATCTGTCTAGAATATTAGAAAATCGCACACCAGGAAAAAAAAAAGTAATTGATCTATTTTTCTTCAGAGCATCTTAATATTTTCTAACTTGTGTCTGCAAACATGAAACATATGTGAAAAAGTCTTTCTTTTGTTAAACTGTTTAATACATGGCCTAGGCTAATGTTCACTGATTATCACTTAACTTATTACTAGTATCCTGGTTTTGAGTGTTTGAGTCATTGATCATATTTGGGCTATGGTGTTGACATGTAACATGAAAAACTCTAGTTATTCATGTCCCTATATACATGAGCACAACAGTAACCTGGTTTTTAATCATCTGCCTGCAAGTGCGTCTATATTTCTCATAATCTCCGCCGCTACGAATGTTCAGAAACCAGGATCAGCTGTTTACATGCCACAGTATCCTGGTTTCTGTCAGCATGCTCTGTGTCACACCATTCCTCCACAAGCTATTCCCTTATCCTAGCTATTCATTTACACATACATCCTTCATTTAATCTATATAATACCATAATTGAAATCAAGATCTCTTTTGCAAGAGAGATCTGAGTACAGCAGATTGAAAGAAGACAAACACAGCCAGACATAACAAAAGCATCAGACGGTCACAGACATCACTAAACAGATTTGAAGATTAAAGTTTTTATTAAATTATTTGGCCTTGTGGAGATGGTGCTGGAGAGATGTCTTAAGCGTTGGAACAAAATCTTCCATAGGTGGTGACTGTAAAGGCTGTAGCATTTAATTCATATCATATTCAAACTCACCAAATCTAAAGTCCCCTGTCTGTATGTGGACACCGGGTTGTGTGTTACTGCTTAACAATGAAACCAGAACCTCTTTTGTAGCTGGTACTTTGCCTTGCTTGAACGCTACAATTAGAACATCAAGCCAAATGAAATTGTCAGTTCTGATCTCCATGAATATTTTAATTTGGAGTTTTGATCCATCCCTATGAAATGGAAACCAAACCTTTTGAATAATACAAATTGAAATAAGCTTGTCTTGTTTAAAGGTCTTATTTTAACAATAAAATCAAACATATTTGGTTATAAGTCAAAATATAGCAACTGTAACTAGATTACCACCAAACCGCCTTTTAAACTGTGGTCTAATTCAACAGCAATCTAATAACATAGCTACACAAGAACTAGTTATATGTTTTAGTTTACATTCCATAAAATAAAAAGATAAAAAATGGGATATGTGGATTTAAACCTCTGTGCTGTTGCTGTCTCAGGTGCGAGCCCATCAGTTGGTGCTGCCGCCCTGCGAGGTGGTGATCAAGGCCGTCTCGGAGTACGTCTCCTCCATCAAAGACCTGGGAAACCTCGACGTCATCGCCAGAGATGTCTTCAAACAGTCACAGGTAGGTTGTGTGTGCGCACTGTCCTGATTTTGGCAACCTCTTAATATTAGGTTAAAGGAAATTGACTAAAACAGATTTACATGTTGCATCTCAAAATGTGAAACGAAAGTTGTATGACATGCTTTTAACTTAATTTCTGACCGTTCATACTGGACTGCTGTTGGTGGTTAAATAGGTCATCACTGTTGACACAAGACCTGAGTCAGCATCGCCACTTCCTCACACATCAGTACCACACTTTATATAAGTCCATGTGCAAAACAGGATTATCTAGTTTCAGTTCATCAGATGAAGCTGCTTTAACATTTACAGTGTTGATTTACATATAAAAGACAATTTAGCAAATGTATATGAGTATAATATTATACGTCTTGGGTGTTCCGAACACAAGTGGACATCTCCAAGTACAGGTGTGAACTGGGATCGGACGCATTGTGATCTGATCTCTCAGAACACATGGATGCATTTATTAGCAGTGTGTATGCGAATTGAAAGACCACCTACTCAACTGATCATTTTTGCGTTAGCGGAACTCATTCGCTCCCCAGCAGCATCATAAAAGTGCAAAATAACACAAGGAAGCCACGGCAACATGCAGAACAGACTCTCGTGGATGGCGTAAGCTATTAAAGCTTTATTTAAGCTTTAAAGCTAAGAGGACCGCAAGAGGGTGGGGAGGTGATGGAGCAGTGGATAAGATGCATGCCTTTTTTTGTGAGAGACCCGGGTTCAACTCCCCACTGTGACTCGTCCACCAATGTGTCCCTGAGCAAGACACTTACCCCCAATTGTAAGTTGCTTTGGATAAAAGCGTCAGCTAAATGAATAAATGTAAATGTAAGAGGCTGACTGCACTAACTAGCTAATGGCAATGCAATTAGCAGTTACTTAAGCAACAAGTCAGACAGTCTGTCCATCAGGAAACTCTAAACTGTAAATCACAGAGAGTTGAGGTAAAGCAGCCGGAGGACATCAGTAGGAAAACCAGTAAATAGTTTTGTACAGTAATCAGTGAAGCCATTTGGTCTTTTCAAATGGAAATTATGTTCAGGTTTATTTGCATAATAATTAGCAATTTAACAATGAAGTCAGTCACAGTAATTCTACTTTTTTGTTTATCCAACTTCAACTAAATAAATCACTTTTTTAGCTATGTACTGTGTTGCACATGATTAATAAGCAGGTTGTACTGGCCCCTATCTCAAAATAAGAAATAGCTGTGTGATCAAAACGTTTTACATGTGACTTGATGTATGGCAGATAAATGTTTAAGCAAAGTACTCGGGGCTCCCCTCTGTCTTGAAAATGTTGCCTCAAGTGTTGCATTTCTCTCTCTTCTCTGTTTAGTTTAGTGGAGCTGCACTGCCATGTTCATTGAGTCCAGTAAACAACTGAGTTACAGCAGTATGTACTTATATTCCATCACTTGCAGACGCCAGATGTAGAGACATTTGTTAGATTTGGACCTTAAAGGATATGTTTGTTTTTGTTCTGTATTTGTCTCATCATCAGCAAATCACATGAAAAGACCAAAACCGACAATGAATGTATCCCTCAAGTATTGTCTGTGGATCCAAAGCTGGATATATCTTTTTCCTCTGTGCCATTGATCTCCATTATACAGTGGCACGTTTTGTTAATTTTGAGTCAATCCCATATACATCGTCTTACTGCTAGAAATTCTCACTGGAGCGCCAAATATATATCAGTACACCCCTGAAAGTAGTCGATAACAAATGCACTATTTACTCCTGTTTGAGTAACAGTTGCTAAAAACTATAGTGGCCAGCTGTTTTAGGAAATTATTTAGCCTTTAAAGTTTTCAGTAGGAACAAATGTGTTTGACGAAGAGCCACAGACGGAAGGGAAGTCAGAAAGTATTGTGAGCCTTTGTCAATAAATTAAAAAAAATATTTCCATGCTTATCCTTTAAGAAATTCAGGTATTTTACTAATTTGGATCCAGATCTAAAATGAAGCCGGTTATTAAAACTCAACCCCGCTGATCCTGTAGTTATTAATTTGGACCTAAGCTGAGTTGACCCGTGTTAACGCAAGGTCAGTTTGGAAAAACTCGTGTTGACAAATTAACTTGCGTGTTATCCAGGTCCTTGCTTTGGTCCAAAGGGGAATTAGTCTGCAACAGATGTGTAATGATCCCAGCATGATACGTAGTCAACATATTGCTTTGTTTCCTTTACAGTCCCGTATGGAGGACAAGGTGGAGCGATTCAAGAAAGCTGTGGAGTATTTCTCAGCTGCCTCCAAACCTCGCTCGCCCAACATGGGGCCCTCCTCTTTCATCTGTGAGTAGTAAACTGTTCAGGAAACACAACCAATACTCTAAACCATTATGTAATTTTATTTTTTTTACATCGCTGTTCCTTTTGTCTCTCCATGCTTAGTACCTGGGTATGGGCCCAATCCATTTGGGGGACCACCTGGCCACATGGGACCGATGCAGCTTGGAAAGAATCAGGTAGATTCCTTATCTTGTTAATCCTTTGTCCTCTTTGATGTGTGTGTAATTCGTCCTCTGCTCTACATGAATCTACATGTAGCAGATTGGATTAAGTTTCTATTGTTTTTTTTTGCTCTTTGAAATCCCTATGTGGCATGTGCTCATTTAGGGGGGGAAAATGGCTAAGGGAGGAGGGTGCAGTCTTTTCCATCGCAAATCCTCCCACCAGCCTTGATTAGATTCTTCCAGTTTGATCTGGAATAAAATAGGACAATAGTAGTTCCTGTCCCTGAGACATATTCTCCCCTTTCCTCCCCCCTCACTCTCCTGTGCCCCCCACCTTGTCCAATCCCAGTTCCCTCCTCCCCAGGTTCCCGGGTTAAAGCCACCTTATCAAAATGCTCCATACGGACCTGGTTCCACCCCTCCGTTTCAGAACCCACCGCTGCCTTCCCAAGACTGCAACGATTCACTGACGAGCAAGATGGGCTTCACTGATTGGTCGGCTCCATATGATTCCACTCAGGGGGGAAGTCGATTACCCAATCATCACACCAGCACCCAGTCTGGTCCCTCTCCGTCTCCTTCCTCGTCATCAGATGGAGATGAACCCAACGACAGCAACGCAAAGTAAGACAGAGAGAAAGTAAAGTTGTGTTTACACTTTCCAGGTTTTAGCAAACGGTTAGCTCCCTAATTATATTTAAGTGAAAAGGGCATTTTGGCATTTTAGGTGGAGCAAAGCATTTTACATAACACATGTTTTGACTAATCCCAAGGAGAGCTTAGCTTTCATTGTATGTTGGTTACACTTTACAACAAAAAAGCACTTAAGGATATGTGGCAATTGGCTCTTTTGTCAATTTATTAATTAAGTCCAATATAATTCTGGGAAGAAGTGACTTTTATGCAAATTCCTGTCAGAATGGCAGCATGTTGGTGTGGTTTTAATTCTGTGGCCTACTTTGTTAACACAACAGAAAGCTTGCTGGAATTTGAGAGACAAGTTCCTGTCAGAGAGGCAATTTAACATGTTAGTCTCATCAGTGTTTCCCCTAGGATGGAGTTGTAGCAGCGGAGGTGAAGCAAAACATTTTTAGTGCGCGTAGTGCGCAGTATATCTGAATATAAAAACCCCAACACAACATGTCTCAGCAGCATTGCTCTTGTGTAAACATGCGATGCAAATTAGAATAGCTTAAAATTTCAGTGTTTTCCCATAGTTTAATGTGAGCTTTAGATGAATGTGTTGGTGTTGGTCGTAGTAGTCATGGTCAGGAGGGTGGGGAGGTTTTGGGGACCTCCCCCAAGAAAATTTTACGTTTTGCAATGAAAAATATGTAACTTCACATCATCATGGGCCATTATTTTCACCATATCTCTGAACAAATAGTTGGAAAAGCTAGAGCAGATAATAAATAAACACCCCAAAATCAGTCTACTGGGAAGGAACTACAATCATTAGATTTGGGGAAAGTAATTTGGTTGGTTATGATGCTCTCCACTGTGATTATACATTTCTGGCACAGCATGTTTTGGGCATCACCCCCTAAGCCTTAATGGCAGGAAAACCCTGTTAATGACGTCAGAGTCATTATAGATATGATTGTTCATGTTTGCCTTTTGTGTCTTCAGTTTACAGCTTTAGACATTTATCTGTGAAGACATTTATATAAAAAATTAGGCAACATGAGAAACCACCTCCCTTCTCAGGTGCATTGTATATGTACATTAAAATCCAAAAAGCAACGTCTCCTCATTAGCTTAAAAGGACTAGTTTGCATCACTAATTTGCTTTACTAACCTCAGCTCCTCCAGTCACCAGCGTCCTCTCTTTTCCTAACAATTACATTTTCAGACTCATCTGAAAACTGAAAAATAATTTAGGATACCTGTCTGTAGGCTACAGGACAGAGCTGTAGGCTATACCAGTTTAGTCTAAGTTTGTACATGATGATCTCAACATTGGACTGGTAGGTAGCAATAAAATACAGCTACCAGTTACTTTCTATAAATTGAGCTAATGTTAAGTTAAATAGGAGCCAAAAGACGCGGCCTGCTGTATAAGCTTTCTGGCTCATCAGCATTTGGGAAAACAACAGGCAGACTTTTCTTGGTCTTTAGAACACACCATTACCGACACCGTACATTTACTGCCAGAATATTTCCCTCCACTCACGTTCACTGTCACTTTCTGCCGCTATGACAATCAAACACTCCCGATTCAGAGTTGCGCTGCCGTTATAGCACCGCCTGTCGCGTAGATGTTCTGTGAAGTACGAGGAGAGGAAGCAGGCAAAGCGATGAGTGTTACCGTGCTCGCACAGTGTGAGTGAAAATTAGTAGCGCATTGATATAAAAATGAGTGTCGGAAATTTTAGTAGCGGCGGTCACAATTGCGCGAAGGGGAAACACTGCTCATGTCTGGGGAAAAAATCATGTAAAAGTCACCTAGTAACATTTCTCTCTCTAAATAAAAAAAGTCTAAATTGAATTTGAACATTAATGTCAAGACTGCAGCAGCACGAAGTGAAAGACAAAGAGAGAAAGAGATTCAATTTTCATCTTGTTTGAGCTGCAGTGATTTTCAACAAAGAATTAATCAGCAACAACTTTAATAAACCAATTTGATATTTTTTCAAAGAAAAGAGTGCCTAAATTCTCTAGTTCCAGCTTCTCAAATTTAAATATTTGCTGCTTTCGTTCGTCTTCTAAAATTGGAAACTTTATATCTTTGGGGTTTGGATTGATTAATTGAGAAAAGAATTAGCAGATAAATGGATAATGTTTGTTGCTGCCGTAGTCTCCTTTGCCTTAAGAGCGCTATGATACATTTTATATCTTAATTTTTAACTATTATGCACCAAGAAAATCAGGTTCTTAAAATATATGTTGTTCGTTAGATTCTTACATCAGATGAGTCTAAATAAATGAACATCCAGCAAAATGCATTACATACAGACTAATAGGAATTAAACGAGTCTCAGTCCCATTTTAATCCCATTCTATGCTTATGCACATTCTGACTTCATACAGTACTCAGCAATGTTTTTTTATAAATGATGACATTAATGGATTCACTTGTGAGAAGTGTTTGAGTGTCCCTTGTACCCAAAATGGTTTTTAATTAATTTAATTAATTAAAATGAATTAATTTTGAATGACAAAATAAGTTTAAAAATCCATCACTGATTCTCAGCCTGTGAGAGAACAGAAACACTCATCTTCCTTCATATCATTACAGTTCTTTTCCTTTAAGTCACCGTTGTCCTCCAGCATGTGCATCTGTTTTCTCTCGCACGCCAGTAGTCACATATCGTGTGTGCAGGCGTTGATCCATAACAGTCCTAACATGTCTGAATAAAGCTGTAAGGGAAGATTTATGATTTATGTGTCTGACAAAAAGCCATACCTTTATAACAGATAATTGAAGCTAGCACATTATTTCATCTCTGAAAAGGATTAGAAAGTGCTCTGCCTTCCAAATCAATATCAGGTCTTGCTTTACCAACATATTAATCCACTCTCACTGAGACCGGTATAAAGGCAAACAAGGCAGAGCAAGCAAAGTGTAGCTGAACTGCAGATGGCAAATCAACACAAGTCATACATCTACTGGACACTGCCTCTTTGTATATAGCAACACGACCGTGAGTGTTCCTGTAACAACTCCAACAGAGTGATTCGTCTTCTCTGTAGCAGATCTTGTCAACTTCAGTCGTTTTCTCCAGTTAGACTTTCATTCATACCATGTTAATAATTTAAACTTAGAAAATCAGTATTTGAAAGAAATAAGGTGTGCAAAATGTAGGAGCGACTCCTGTTGTTTTTTTTGTCTGATTAATTTTTAATTTTAGGAATTTAAGTATCGGATGTGACCAATATTTAAAGACTTTATCATGACACCCCTTAAACCGTGCGTCCATAGCAGCTCTATATCACATTCACTTTTATATCACATGTTGACTGACTGACCTCTTCACCCCATTTACACCTGGTAATGTAATCTATGTCTGGACACGTTACCTGGATAGGGAAAAACACATGTTAATGTAAATGCCTAAAGATATTTGTACATCAAGCGAGAAGGCTGAAAGAGATGCGCCTCTAGTGACTGATTATGAGTGTACTCTGTGCCTTGAAAGTGCAGAAATATGCAATTATACAACAGAACTGCATGAAAAATGAAAGCTATACGGGTGAGAAATAAATGAGATACAGTAAGAAATAATATTGTGCTGCTGGTGCAGCTGATCTGCTGTTAGCAAGGCATGTAATTTATCTAGTGACAGAGTAGCTGACAATATAAAGTTAATAAAGTTTCCCCTAACTCAACAAGTCACAAAACTATGTGCTTGTTTTTTATTTTTAAGGGAGCCTGGGGCAGATTTGCTTCCACCTCAAATTACAGATGTGGAGATCCGATCTAAATAAGGATAACCAGAACGCATGAAAAATACCAGACGCAAACAAAAAGACAGGATTGGATTGTTTATTATCCGGGTAAAGATCACATGTTAATACAAGGTGTAAATAGGGTGTTTGTCAACAAGCTTAATCTGTAAAGGATCCCAGCTACCGATTAGCGATTCGGGGATTACAGCTACTGAGGAGGAGGATGGAGCTGCAGGGATTACAATCTACACATGTTCTTTTTTTTGTTGTTGTTGTTTTTATCTCTTCACATGTTTTGTTGACCCGTTAATCGACAAGTCTCAAAATAGCCTTAAGGGGCTTTACAATACAACACACTCATGTTTAGACTCATTGTCCAAGAGGACTGGTAGGTGAAAAAATGTGTTATGGTGTTATGTAGGGCTGCCCCTGAATAGCTGAAGCGTGGTTTTGTGGCACTGTTTATATGCACATAAAACCGCATGTGGTAGTGTATGTGTCAAACTCTGATACAGACAACACAAGACAGAAGCAGCCCGTAAAACTAACTCTCAGCGTATTTTTTTTTTTCGATTCGATTTTCGAAGTGTTTTGCTGCAGTATCTTCAGCTCTGCGTTAAACTCACACACACACGATGACTATCAGGATGAGTAAACACTCCCATGAACACTTTCTTTCAGCCATTTGACGGACAAGCCCTCTCGGTGGGAAGATCCTGCTGGAAGAGGGGGCTCGGCCTCTGGAGACGGTTCCCAAGGCAACGGGAGCGGGTCACACATTCCCTCACTGTTGTCTATGGCGACGCGGAGTCACATGGACATAACCACGCCCCCTCTGCCTCAGGTGCCGTATTGAACACACATCTTCAAACCAAATGACACAGCACAGTTGTAGAGTTGGGTTGGAAAGTTGCAGTTTGTTTTTTCGTTTTAGGTTAGCGCTGAGGTTCTTCGTGTAGCCGAGCACAGGCACCGAAGAGGGCTGATGTACCCCCAGATTTTCCACATATTGACCAAGGTAAACGGTTTTCCTCAGTTAGATGACATTAATGTTTTACTTTTGTCTGCCTTTGTCTCTGCAAGCATGTATTCTTTCTCTGCAAGGCCCTCAAGGCACCTAATTAAAGAAGGCTTATAAAAATGGCAAAGGAGGAGGTGATATATCAATCTTGGCAGGGCTCCAGACTAACTTTTTTCACCTCCCCGGAACCGTCCTGAAAAACAATTTGAACCGTCCTGAAGTTAGTGTAAGCGCCCCAAAAACAAAATGTTGTTTCTTTACTTTATTATCCTATTGTTAATAAATGATGATAAATTGATAAAATAAATCATATTTATTTTGCTCGATTCAAACAAGAAGACTTAAAAACAAAACTGAAAAGTTATCTGTTGGGGTACCTTTTTACCTCGATGATGAATGATTTAATTGGTTAATTGGTTTTCTGTTCATGTTCAAAACTTTCTGCACATTCAGAATCTCTCCCACATATCTGTGTTCTCTGAGATGTCCAGAAAAACTCGTAATATAATGAAATTAACAGCATTATTTAATGAGATTTTATAATATTTTTTAAAAATCTACCTGACCTATACTTTGCTGTGCTCCCATTCAGACTGTACTAAATGAGACAAGTGCACTGCACTTCATCGGAGGTACAAACTGGAACCGGAACCTAATACTTGTGATCAGGCAGAAATCTCAACACAAATCCACATGTTAACTTCTGCAGCTCCAATGCAGTAATAATTAAACACGCACACAATCCCTTGCGTCCCAGAGAATGTTTCTCTTCGTCCCAAACACATTTCTGTTGTCCCCAGGACGCCATTAGTCTCGAGCCCTGGCTCTTGGTCCTCCCTGTAATATCTCTCCCTGTTCCCTTTCTTCTCCCTCTACCCACCGCACCCCTCAGGGAGAGATGAAGATGCCAGTGTGTATAGAGGACGAGTGTAACTCTGAGCTCCCGCCTGCCTCTCTGCTGTTCCGTGCTGCCAGACAGTATGCCTACGGCGTCCTCTTCAGTCTGGCTGAAACACACCGCCGCCTGGAGAGACTCGCTCTCCGCAAGAGGGCTCCCCTGGAAGGTAGGTCCTGGGGAGCGAATGGTAGACAGATGGACTGCACATACACTCATGTATTCTTAGATTTCTACCTGGGAATTGAGCCAAAGGTTTAAGTTTTCCACAGATGGATTTGTTTCTTTGAATTGATGATTTCTGAGAAAACTAACTATAGATGTTAGGGGTGGATGAGAATATCTTGGAATCAGACTGGTCTTTTACAACTGCCTTTACTATCTGAGCTCTGAAATAATGTCCTCTCGGTAGCCAATTAACTTAGATAGGTGTCTTTTTGGTTGTGTTTATATGTAGTATAATGTGTGATGGTTAGCTAATTAGTCATTACTAATCAGGAAAACATTTGGTGATTTTGTCATGTTACCCTTGAATGTTAATTATTGTAACCTGAATTAAGTTCATTGACAGAGATACAGAGTCTGGTGGTGGTGAGTTTGTGCTTGTGGGAAAGGGAGTGTATAATATATTTCTTGTATTTGTAGGTAAGGTGAAGAATAGACATCAGTAATAATGTTAAAAATGACAAAATATAATATGACCACGACCACCTTCCTTTCCAAGTGGATGCACCAGTTTGAAGTGTCGACTCTGAAAACCGGAGATTTGCGGAAATGGAGATCCATATATCAGAATATCATATTATTATACAGTGTCTTGGAGCTTTAACACCTCCACCGTGCCTCTCTTGGTGTGTCTCCCTTTTGTTGAGCCAGGCCATTACAGTGGTACATGCTTAATTTTTTCAGTTGGTCTCTTACTGGGTCACCACAGCAGTGAAATCATATGTCCTCGCTTGCCCTTATGTTTTTTCTCTGTTCCCTTCAAGAATGAGATTTGTTTTTGTAATGGGTTACATATCTGCTGACTTATCAGACAAGGGAAGGGGAGGAAAAAAGTTTGATGCTTTGATGCTACCCTGAAGGCTTTTCCCATGGAGGACATTATGACTTGCCAAAGAAGTGTAAATAATACCGTTAATTACTTACTAGCGTGGCTCTCTGATATATCTAAATGTAATAGAGCCATATTTATTGGTTACACTGGTGCTTTTCCTGAAATGAAAACAAAAAATATCTGCTGTGAGAAAACTGTGTTCTCTAAAAGTTCCCTCAACCGTGGGAATTAAATCACTGCTAATAGATACACACTCTCTCTCTCTCTCTCTCTCTCTCTCTCTCTCTCTCTCTCTCTCTCTCTCTCTCTCTCTCTCTCTCTCTCTCTCTCTCTCTCTCTCTCTTATATATTTATTTATATATATATATATAACAGCCCATATTTGAGAGACACACTGAACCCCTACCTGCACTTTTACCGTTAGCAGCTTTGGAGGAGTGAGTGCGCTAATATACCAGCCTGCTCCAAAGCCTGTCACTGAAAACCCTGTCATTGTCTCTACTGAGTTGTTTTTATATAAACTTCTCTTGCCTCTGTGTTACAGTTCCTCCAGTGATTGTCAAAGAGTGGAGCAGCGGTAAAGCCAAGTCAGCCCTGACTCCGGAGCTGGTTCCGGCCCTGTGTTTCCGGGAGTGGACCTGTCCCAACCTGCGGCGGCTGTGGTTGGGTCGTGCCAGCGAGGACCGCTCCAGGAGAACCAGGGCCTTCCTGGCCTGTCTACGCTCTGACTGCCCAGCCCTCCTCAACCCAGCACAGGTCCCACAGCATCTGCTGCTTATGTGCTGCGTGCTCAGGTATGACGGTGCTCTACACCACTCCTGGTTGTAGTTTAGTTAACAAAAATCTGTGTGTGTGTGTGTTGCCCTTAATGCAGTGTGATGAGCAGCCCAGTGAGAGTCAGGCACCGAGTGTGTATATTTCAACATTTCTGCTCAGATATTTTCACTGTGCACGACTGCTGAAATGATTAGTCAATAAGTCACTTAATTTGTACTAACTAATAGGGTGGTGATGGCGCAATGGATAAGACACATGCCTTTGGTGTGACAGACCCGGGTTCAATTCCCCACTGTGACCCATCCACCATTGTGTCCTTGAGCAAAACACTTCACCCCTAGTTGCTCCAGAGGTGTGTGACATGACCTCTGACATGTATAGCAAGTCGCTTTGGATAAAAGCATCAGCTAAAAGAATAAATGTAATGACTCATTGATCAAGATTTTGGTGTTGTATAAGTGGAGGTTTAAAGCTGCTGGATGTTCTTATAAAAATCTCTTAGTCTGTTTGTTGATCTGCAAAAGTCGCCAAATTTTATAATTGATTAATTGTGGCAAAGAAGAATTAACTGGCAAAGAACAGGTGGAACCATTAACATGTAAAGGTAACTACACCATCAAACTCTGCTAGACCGTCTCTCCCACTATTAAAAGATGCAACAGAGGAGCGAGGGCGCAACAGCTGAAGGAGACTTTGTCGATGCGTAGTGTGTGGAGTGGATACTTAAGGCTTACTAACTGACCACCACTCAGTTGAAGCAAGGACAATGAGGTAGAGCTGGTAGTCAGAGTAAACCAGCTATGAGAAGATACTCTCCTATCTCTGTGACAGATAGGAGGTGGGACCATTCTGAGAGAGTCACTGTGTGCTTACCTGTGTTGTAGCGGAGCTAGCGGTTCTACTACGAGAGGCTCTACGCTGTGTGTAGGGGAGTGTCCGTACACAGCCATGTCCCTGCTGTTTATCACAGTTCACGTTTCTGCTCATCAGCCATAAAGATCTTTTTTATCTGTGAATAAAGCAGTGGGCGCATGTGTTTTGTTCACTGCCACTGCAGAGGAATAATTCTCCTTCATGTACATGTCGTTTTTCTGTTGGCACACATCAGTCTTGCTGATCAGTCTTGCTGATGAGTGCCAACAGAAAAACGACGCAACAAACATCTATGTCTGAGAGGAACAGGCTGCTGCTACAGTTAACTAGTGTTCTGCTTTTTTTGTTCTGTCTGCTGTCATGCACAATTCTCAATCCTATGTATAAGAGCCTTGTAATTTAACTGCACGTGGAGTGCATCAGTACAGTGTAGTTCTGTGTTCCTGCTCTGAAGTGAGCTTTGTTTTCCTTCTCTGTCAGGTATATGATGCAGTGGCCCGGGGGAAGGATCCTCCAGAGACATGAGCTAGATGCCTTTCTGGCTCAGGCTGTTTCCAGCCAGCTCTACGAACCCGACCAGCTGCAGGAGCTCAAGGTAAGACCCCACTCCTCAAGGTGTGTTCAGACCAAACGCAGAGTGAATATGTTGCTGGAATTTCTTTTGAACATTTCGCAACCCGCGAATATTTGCCCTTGACAGCCAATGGGAGTACTGTGGAAGGCAACAAAACTAGTACGAACTTGGGTAAGTAAAGTACAAGCGATAGCTGGACTCAAGTAACATATTTTCTATATAGTCTTACGGTTTTGCTCACTTTTCTCCTAGGCCTCTTTTTTTGTTCAGTCCTCCGTACAGTAAAGACGTTGAATCGTAGAGCTCTGGGTGCCCACAAATGTTTCTCGTTGATGTCAGGAGAGTCTTAACGCTGATAGGAAATTAAAAATGATCAGCTCGTGCAGATACGTATTTGTGTCTGTTTGCATCTTTGCATTGACTTTGTATGTAACATGCTGCTTGAAAAATTTGCACACTTATGGCCTGAACACACGACAGACGTTTTATAGAGGAGACATGCCACTCAATCACATCCTCAATACAACTCTATGGAGAAAGCCCGTAACGGCAAGGATGACAGTTATCCCGTCCCTCCCGCTAGAAAGCCAATCGTCTTCTTTTAACAGCCAAAGCGGGAATCATATTTCAGCCAATTGTGTGGTTCCACTGACGTAAGGGTCTGTTTTACTTCGACTGCGCATGTGTGGTAGTAGTGACGCATGCGTAGTAGAAATTCAACCGGTCGGGGAAAAACGCTTTTTAAACATTATTTTGGGGCAAAGTTGTCAAACTTTTTCAGCAATTTTTTTTTTTTTTATTAGATTTTACTGCTGATTCTAGTCATGAAGTTTTTATGTCCTGGTGACAAGTAAAAGTGCAGTTCTGGCTCTCTCCCCATTCAGATAGGAGCCTGGTCTTGAGGGTCCGAAATAGCTGCCCAGAGGTGTTGCCAAGATGCTGCAGTGGCATGACTTGCCCATAAGGACTTTTCACACGATCACTCCCTTATTGTTGGATAATCATAAATCAGGGTTTTACCTGATGATTCTGCACACAAGTCTCATGTTTGTATTGTAATTTTTAAATTTAACATTTTTTTGCTCTTGTTTAAATCCCTTTGTGCAGTTTTGAGTTTATAATTTAGTTGCACAACTAATGCATCCTCAAACACTGTGTGCTGGTGGATGTACTAATCTTACTACACTCGAAAATGAATGACACTTGAAAATGAATGTAAGTAGTTTTGGTGTTACAAGCAAATTTTATTTTGGTAGTGTCTCCCTTGAGACAAGATGTAATGCGTACGCCCACATACCATGTGTACAAAACCTCATGATTCACAACTCTTCTGCACTCACTTCCTCTAGCATTTCTACTATTCGTCTCTGTGTTACTTATAAAATGCTGTCATGTTACGTTTGTGTGTTTGCCGTTAGGTGGAGAAGGTGGATGCCCGAGGTGTGCAGCTTGCTTCCCTCTTTATGGCCGGCGTTGACACAGCGCTGTTCATCAATGATGTGTGCGGCCAGCCGTTACCATGGGAACACTGCTGCCCCTGGGGTTTCTTTGACGGCAAACTGTTCCAGAGCAAACTGGCCCGGGCCGCCCGCGACCGGGCAGCCCTGCTAGACATGTGTGAAGGGCAGGTACGAACACAGTTCTTTTGTCCCGATCAAAGTCCTATAATATTGGGTATCTGCCAGTACAGGTCATTCAAGTCTGTTTCGGACACATTAAAACAACAGCTATAGCCTCCTAAATTCACCCTTTTTCTCGAGCTTCTTGATCCAAACACTGAAGGTCCCAATTAGAGGCCATAAAGTTCATAAGCTCAAATTACTGATATGAAATTTATGAAAGATTAAATTGGAGAATACGACTCCTGAAATGGACTTGATGTGATCCACTCGAGAGCATAGGAATCTCGCTGTTGGAGTTGTTTGAACTAAAGAAACACTAGCACTGTAGTTTAGTAAAGGATTGAATTTTGATCAGCTTCATTTTATCTTCTCTACTATTCCGTGTCCCCACTCAGACATTCCCGGGCTGTGTGGTGTTTTCACATCAATAACTCTGTACCTGGATGGCTCAGTCTCAGTTTTCTTTCTGCTCTGCAGGAGGAGCTGGTGTCCAAGGTCGAGAAGATGCGTCAGGCAATCCTCGAAGGCATCAACCTGTCCCGCCCTCCTCCTCCTCCCCCTCCACTTCCACCTCCTGCCTTCCTCCCCCCCACCATGATGCCCCCTTTCTACCCCATGCCTCCACTCTACCCACCTCGCCCCATGGGCGGCATGCCACCTCATCATCACCCACATCATCCACATCACCCAGCCCAGCACAGACCCAGAGCCTTCCCAGGTACAGAGATGCTTTCTTTTTACCGGTTGGTTTTTAAGCATACTTTGACCTTCAAATGGATGTAGATTTCCCCTTCACTTCATCCTAATTCCATACTACACACCCTTCTAGGCAGCTTTGAGGTTTGTGTTCACAGTGGAGACGTAAGAAAATGGAGCATACCGAAAACAATCAATATGCATTATGCTGTTGATGTACACTATTGTCCCACAATGCAATGCATAAATGGAGGAGCAGCTGACAACTGGAAAAAAATGACTGTGGATGGTGATGAAACACAAAGAAAACAAAAAATAACTATTTGACTTTACATGGGAAGGCAAGTTTTATTTGTATAGCTCCTTTCAACAAAAAGGAAATTCAAAGGTATAATTTGCGCTACGGTGCTCTGCAATCAAATACGATTTTAAATAAGCCTGGTATAAAAAAAAATGAAAATCAATATGTGGGCATCAGCGTTGATATTGTGGCGGGCCGCCACAAATAAATGAACATATGGGAAACACTGTGATACTGTATAGAGGTATTGTGTAGTATGGAATTGGGGCACAGCTATAGTTTCCTTCTTGAGACTATAAAAAGAAAGGTCTCATTGGTCACTTCTGTTCTCCTTTCTTCAGGCATTCAGTCCATCCCCCCTCAGGGAGGAAAACTGGAGATAGCGGGCATGGTTGTTGGCCAGTGGGCTGGGAACAAACCAATCCGTGGGAGAGGGGGTTTCAACATGCAGGTGGTGTCAGTGGGAGCAGGAAGAGGGTGAGTAAGATGATGCTGTTTTTATCAAAAATGAGCTTTTTGTCTATGAAACCACCACTTTACAAAGTTGTAACAACATTGCATATGTTGTCATTATGATGACCATGGTTTAGTTGTTGATATTCAAAATATTGACACATTATTTAGTTATAGGGCTTTTGCATTGCATTTTTGTATGGGTAGGAATCTTTGGATGAATAGAAATGGGACTACTATTTCTACCACTCCAGTAAACTGTGTGCCAAACCGTTCACTTCTGTCCTTATTCCACTGAAGGGTAATATGAAACATGTCTGGCAGTTAACCTAACTGGGCCTGATTAAACTCACTACATGCCTACCAAAAAAGAAAAAACAGAGGAAAGTGTGTGAAAGGATACAGCTTTTGTATTTAAAAATTAAGCTGCATCAAATTTGGAAGCATCTTACACTACGTGTGTTGTTATAGTTTTGTCTCCACCGGCGTGGAATACACTGGTGGAACTTTAGTACTGTGAAAAGCTGGCGTCATCCAGAACTGACGAGACTGTTGACAGTTCTTTTCTTCAGAGTTTTTGCAAAGTACACTACCCAGGTGCTGCTGTGTCCTCGCGAGAGTTCCACTTTATTTGTTCTGTCAACATTACAGAAATCTATGTTTGCCATTCGTCAGTCGATTCAGAATTGTAGATGAGAAGAAGATGAGAATCACGTCTACAATTTTTATGTATTGGAAAAAATAAATTCCTACATTTAGGAGATGACTTTAGAATAGGTTGTCACAATGGAAAGGGGTGATTGCTGTTGGTTGAGAGCCGTCAATTTGTTCATCAAAGTTGAACTTGAAGTGAACTGCCCGCATGGATTTATTTCGCTACCATGTACTTATTGTGTGTGAAATCCTTAAATCCTTAAACACTGGCCGAGTGAACTACTGATACTGGTTGTCTTCCACATCCGAACGTCTCTGTTTCTTCGTCACAGGAGAGGAAAAGAGATTCCCGCAAAAGTAAGGGGAGTGAAAAAGGCACCTGCCAACAGAACACAGGTATGACACGAGCAGCGGACCAAACTTTTACACAAAGCTCTTAATTCATGTGATCTATATTCCTACATGAAAAGTGATCACCAGAGAGCATCACAGCTATAAATTCCCTCTTTTTCTTGTCACATTCCTACTTGCCATCATGCCTCCTGCTGTTCTGTTAAAATGCTGTCTGACTGTCCTCCAGACGTCGCCACCCCCCCCATCTAGCAGTCCCCCAAAGCCCTCAGAGGAGGCGGGCTCCACGCCAGAGGTTGCGACTCAGCAGCTGAACGGCAGCTCAGCAGCCTCCGCCATCGGCCAGCCCTTGGAGCTGGCCTCCCTGGCCCAGCCAATCCCTTGTGCCTTAGCCAGCAGAGACAACCAATCAGAGGGGGTGGAAGTGGAGGCCCCCTGTTGCCTTGACGACTGCCCGTCAGACGGAGCACTACAGAAAGAGGAGTGATGGCGTCCTTCGCCGGATGCACTGCTCTGAGAGAGTTCTCTGTGTTCGACTGCCTTTCCCCTGTTTTTGTAGCCCTGTCTGCTAGCTGTGCACATTATCACATGGAGCAGGACGTGAAATGAGGCTCCTCCTCCTCTTCTCTGCTGCTCCATGTGATAGACTAAAGCAGTTAGCTGTTACTTCCTTTTTAGTTTTCTCATGTGGTTTTACATTGTTTTACGAAGAGAGGTTTTCTCCATGAGTCTGTAAGCGCCCCACCCCTCAAAAAATCCTAAATGCCTCCCTCCCCACACTCAGAGTAAAATAAGCTTCAAGCCCCCACCCCCCATTATGACCCACCACTTAAACAAGCCCCTTCTTACGTATGGGTATCAGTACAGTTTTTTTATTTTGTGTTTTTAATTGTCCCATTGTTTGAATCTCTGCACACAGATGTTAAGCTTGCAGTGGATGTGGTTTCCATGGTTCACAGCATCTAGGCCTGGTCGCCATGGTCGGCGGTTGTGTGTTGATGTTTGTTGCCAGCTCGTGTGAGGTTTCTCTTGCATGAGTTCAGAGAGGTGTTCAGAGTTTGACTCTGGATATGTGGGAAAAATGTTAACAAAGTGATGTACCATTCTTCTGTGCAGTCCCCCTTGTCTCCCAAACTCTAGCAGCACTGCTAAACACACTGTTTGTATACAAACTAGCAACAAACACCCTTTTATTGATTGATTTGTTATCTATCACAGGAGCACTTCTGCACCACCATGGTATTAGCGTGCTATCTTACTTTGACCAATGTAGCATAGCCTATTGCTTAGCTGTGGTAAGAGACCCCATGGATTTATGCACCTTATGCTCCAAAGTATGCAAGATAATATCCCACTCCTCAAAAGAAAAAGTGCATTATTATATTCTCTCCCCTTCTCCCTTGTCCCCTTCTCCCGAAGCTTTGATTGTATTTTCCCAACAGAAGCACTTAATGTTGTATTTAAATATAATGAATTTGAAACAAGCCCCCATACAGGTGAATTTGACAGTCTGTTAGGGGTGCCCCCCTACGCATAAGTAAATGATAATGACTTGTAGAACTACATTTAAAGGTAGAGATCTATTTGAGAGACGTCAGAATGTGAACAGAGTGGTTTCAAACAAAGAAGCACTTTGTTTTAAAAATGTTAAACCACACTGGACAGTCCTCTACCAGGTGATAAAGAAATAAAAAAAACTCTGAGGCAACTTCTGGAGTTAAGGCCAAAAAGGAAAAAATAATGCTGCCCAGCAAAAGATGGAAATGAATGATGAGAATTTGGGTAACTGCTGCTAGGCAGAGTTCCCTTCAGACTGGCCTCACGTTCAATCAAGAACTTTGCAATGAAGCTGAAAAGACTCCTGATTTTCCAAATCAAGGATTCCTGGGAATCTTTTCAGATTTCTAAAAAGTTTATTTCCAAAGTGTATTTTAATAAGGCTAGCCGACTGAGGCAGCCAGTGATATGAAAGAGGTGTGGCAACAATGCATCAAAGATCCCTCCACCCGTCTGGTGGCGATTGAGCAACTGTTGTCATGACAATAGCCCAACACTAAGAGCTGTTGCCCCGCAGAGCTCTGGTGTGTCACTTTAGACCAGCAGGAAGCACTTCCCTGCCCTGAAGCACCTCAGCCGAACACGGCAGAGGCTTTATGGGTTGGATCACATGTGACAGGAGAGAGAGAGGCCTCACGGCGGACCTGAGTGTACCGCTCATAATCTGAGACTTCTAAGAAAATGAATTGTTTTATTAGAGCGCTTATGTTTGTAGAGAATGAGATGTGTCCCCCATAGTAGATTTCATCTGACTACAGAAATACAACTTACCAGTTTCTGGTAGCACAACCGCAAATGTAAAAGCAGTAAGACCGACGGATAACTGCCTGAGAGATGCTGGCCTTGAACATTGTAATCTCTGTAAACTTACTAAGAGAGGTTGAAATGAGCTCACTATGTTTAAAAAAAGGCAAGTCAACAAGAAGCACCTTATTTTCTTACTATGTTGATGACTTGTGCTCTATCGTGTGCCACAAAATTGACATGGAAAAAGCTCTTATGAAATGCCATTTTGAAGGACAAACCCTGACTATATATGTAAGTGTTAATGTAGTCGTGTCAGACATCCCCTCAGTTATGAACTCAACCATTTACAGTGAAACGCTGACAGTTGTCCCAGCCATGAGCGTAGGCCTACGCTCATCATCACAGGTCTGGGCCGCGCCGCCGTCTCTTACACCATCACCAAATAAAATCAGAGGTTCAGACTTGTTAACCGTTATTGGTAGGGAGTAAGCATACGAGTGCTGTAGGTGTTTATAGGTTAAGAGTAGGTAACAGCGTCGGGCTTAACACAGGACTGTAATACAGACACAAAGACTAGGCTAGAGAATATAGCTCCACTGGCCGAAATACTAAGTCTAGAATTACTAGGAGTCATATACTTAACTGCTTTCAACTTTTGACATTAGTACAAATATGTGTATCGCAACAGTACATTGTTAGAAGATGGCTTTTCTGCGGCGAGCCAGAGTGTGATGTGGTATATGATGCCCTCTCTCGATTTGCTCGCCAGATTAACAGTTATAAACACACACACATACAAACACACACACACACACACACGGCAAGACAGGTAATCAGTTGCATTTGTTACCAGCAGCATTCTCTCTGCTTTTGTGCTGAAGTGATTTTGTGCAGTTTCAGTTCCCAGTGGAGTGGTCGTCAGTTCATCAGAGATCATTTTGGTAACACATTCTGCTGACTAAAAAAAATAAATAATCCCACATTTTCTCAAGTTTGCATGGACGGATTAAAAGTACATGTTAAAGAGGTGTCGGGTACAGGCACACAGACAACCACGTTATACACATACACACACAACACATGAACACAGAAACACACACAGATACATAGATGTTAAACCCTGAGTTACACAGTAGCTAGTATGGAAAAAAAAGTCAACACAATACATGATGTAGTGTCCCTCTCTTGTCCTTGTCTGTTTTAGTTCAATAGATATTTGATCAGTGATTTTTATGCTCGTTATCCTAACACCCCCCTTCCGCCTGCTATGACACTTTCCCCCGCCGCCTCTCCTCTCTACACACACCCCCAAAACTGTTCATTCACTTCTTTTCTCCACCCCCCCCCCTAAAATCTTCCTCATAAGAGTACATGCATCCATCCACTCACACACACACACTCAACCATGCCCACTGATTCTCATTAAAAGCAGTCTCACACACAAATACACTCAGATATTTTACAGACAGGTTACCCCTCCAGCCCCCGTATCTCAGTTCTCTCTTTCACCTTTGTCACATCCCTCTCTGCCTCTCCTTTAGCCCTTAGGACCGTTTATATTGGCCTGTTTTTTTTGTTTTATTTTCTCTTTGGGCTGCCCCGCCCCTTAATCAACCCAACTAACAGTAAAGGTTATATTAACGTTGATAATCAGTTTCTGTATGTATCTAGCCAGAGTCTGGAAAAAAATCAGAAAAAAAAAATCAAAACGGTTTTATTCAATTGTGCAAATGTGTTTTTCTTACTATTTTTAATGTTATTACATCTTCTAATCTAATCCTTCTACCATTGCTTCAGTTAGTACTGAAATACGCTTAGCCAACCTAGAGATTTGAACTGTAATGATTGCATTTTTCCTTACCTGTATTTTATATGGCATCTTTAGACCACCGTTTATTATGTACGTAAGTAAATATTGCCCGTTTTATGAATTGAAAATTGTCGTCTGCACTATGTATTATGATTCTCATAATATCCCTGATAACAATTTTGTGGTCGACTCATTATTAATCTAAGCTGAACTCTGCGCCCTTGCACAAAGCAGCAAAACATCTCTTGTCAACACCTGAGAACCAAAGTACACCTAGCTTCTCCTTATAAAGCCCCCCGTTACCCCCCAGCGTTGATGGTTTGCCCCCGAGTAACACGTTTTCTGATGAGTATGATTATATATATATATAATGACATTACAGCATGTGTGATTTATCTGACAAGTCTGTGAGGTAACGGTGTTTTTACACTGTGGTTTTCGTGGAGACGCAGACAGACAGGGAAGAAGGAAGGTAGTGTGTTTGTGTGGACAGTGAGTAAGTGAGCGGGGTAGTTAGGTTTAGACATGTGACCATGTGTTTAGGCATTGTTGGTGAATTCACTACTCCTGTTTCTCGCTCACGCTCAGTTTTAACTTCTTAATTGACTGAATTTAGGCTGTGTGAACCACCGCACGCTCTGACTTCTGATCTACACTAAAACACAGGACGAACGACACCTGATCTTTCACTCGTGCTGGGGTTTTGGCGCCCTCTTTAGCATTTTTCTTACATGTAATTGTTGTGCTCTCTCAAACTTGCCTTTAACTTCCCAGACTCAGATTGATAGATCACCTTCTTACCATGCTGAGTCTCTTCAGATGTGGACATGGAGGCTGTTGAAAGTGGCTGAATTTTCCTCAAAACACAAATCTGAGATTCGTTGGCCTCCCAATATAGATGTCATAAAATGTGGATTGCAAAAATTTACATTTTTACCTGTATGGTAAAGAAATTTGTAAAGATGGTTAAATAAATAGATAAGAGAGAAATTAATTGATTCATCTGCTCGAAACAAGCTGTACTTCCAGCTTTTCAGTTGGTAGCATTTCTTTTTAGAGCTGCAGCCATTAGTCTATTAATCGATTTATTCTAGTGACAAAATATTTATTTTCGTCATTTTCACAAGCAAAAATGCCAAACATTTGCTGGTTCCAGCACCTGAAATGGGAGAATTTTATGCTTTTCTTTGCCATATGTGAGCATAAACTAAATATTTGGGTTATAGACTGTTATGGTTAAATCAAACAAGCTATTTGAATCCATCACCCTGGGCTTCAGGAATTTTTGATGGACTTTTTATAGACCAAACTATTTATCAGGTAATAAAAAAAACGATGTAAACATTAATCGGTAATGTAGATAATTATGGCAGCCCTAAAAGATAATACTACAGAGTTCTTGTCAACAAATTACAATCCATGACTTAGAGCCTTGTTTTATAATCCATAAAAATTGAATTCTGATTAATTTCCATTTTCTTGTCTAAGGCAAGAGGAAGGTGTAACTGCAAAAAAATCTCAGCTGATGTGTAGCAAGGAAAATTCACCCCCTCTGTGACTGGTGAAATAATAAAAGCACCCTGCCTCTCTGCCTGCGCAAATGGGAGCATCTCTGAAGAGCTTGACAATGTAAAGAGAACCAAAAGTCCCAGAACAGAAATGTACTATGTAGTGTTGTAGACATCAAACAGTATTATTGTCTGTCATACAGAAGGTGGAAAGAACTCATCAGTTGTGTTGTACCTGTTCTGATCTATTTGCAGGGTTCTCACAGCATTTTGTCCAGTTTGAATAAAGGTCCCTATTCTGTCTGTCTCTCTCTACACTGCCACTCCCCTCCTCAAAAGTCCTCCAAGCTCCAGTATAATTCCCCCCCCCCTCCCCTATTGCTGAGTCCAAGTAAAGGGCTCAAGTTGATCATTGTGGGCCGTTTCTTGACATCTTTGTCAGTGATGCCCTCAGCCACAAGTGTACCAATGCATGTACTTTACCACCCAGGGCCTGCCCCCAAAACTACCTGTGCAGCGAAAATGGTTAAAAATCTATCCATAATATTATTGTTATAGAAATATTATCATCATCATTATTGCTGTTATAATTATGGTTGGTATAATTTGTCATCGTTAGCATTATGGAAGCACCAGACCGTTAGTGGAAAGATGAGAAAAAGAAAGGCTTTTTAATTTTTATTTTTTTTTATTTTGTCTGGCTGTTGGTGGTCTGATCTCACAGAGGGAGGGGAGGAATGGTTCAGAAAGAGACAAAGATGGCAGTCATGTTTGTACTGGTTGGGAAATGACTTACAGTGCTGAAATAAAATTTATTCTTTTAGTAAAAAAAGTATTTGCTGTGTCCAGTGTCTTGATTTCTTTAAAAATTTAAGTTGGCTTTAAAGCTGAATTGAAAGACTGATTCAACACCAATGTCATCCCTATTTTATTAAAGTGAAAAATTCCACAATAATTTGGATTTCAGAAGTAACTGGATACTTAATTGTGAAATTTAAAAGAAAAGTAGTTTTGGGCTTGCATATTTTGCTGTGATTTATAGATGTAAAGATCAATACCACTGTTGTTTGTTCTGTAAATATAAAGCTACTGTCAGCAGCGGGTTAGCTTAGCATTAAAACTGGAACCAGCTAGCCTGGCTCCATCTAAAGGTAACAAAATCCACCTACCAGCACCTCTACAGCTCACTTAACAAGTCACATGTTTGGTTTTTGTTCAGATTACCAGATTCAAAGTGTAAGAACTATTAACAATTTACTATTTTACATTACAAGTTATGTGCTGGACTATTTCTTTGCCGGGTGTAATGACTCCCTGTGGTCTCCAATGGTTATGAAAAACTAGACCCATCAAGGAAATATTAAATATAAGAACCTACATGAAACAGCAAATCGTCGTTTTACAATAAGAAGTGTTAATTGGTGATATTTAGACAGTCGAACAACATCGAAATCATGTTTAAACTTTATTTTGTAACCTGATAACGTCAAACTGACTGATATGATTGATATTCTACACTTGAAGTCTCATTAAGTCCCGTAGATCTCGAGATATTTACGCCCTCAGCACTCAGGCAGCAACCACGAAAACCCTCTGCTAGGAAAGATGGCGAGGAGGAGCTACAGGAAGTAAACCGAAACAGACCAATTCTCAAACAGACGTCGAGTTCGGGAAATTCACGCCGTTATATAGTGATTTTTGGACACGAATCTTAGTGAATCCCCGAATCACTATGAAGCAATTGTGTTGAAAATTGTTTCATTTGATACAGTCCAAAATGGCGGCATCTGCTGGTCGAACCGTTGGTTGCGTTTTTTTTTTTTTTTTTTTTTTAGATGGATTGAATCTGAGGCCACGATTAAACGCTTTGTCCGAAAACATGTCTTATTGTTATTTTTGTTCGATAAATCTGGTATTATTAAAAACTGTTTAAACAGAACCTACATCTGTGTTTGTTTGTTTTTAAATACTGCGGCAGATTGACAGAGAACACCCCGCATTCAAATATGGCGCGACACCCCCCTCTGATACGAGCGTGACGTAGTGAGGCCTCGTTTGGGGGGCGGTCACGTGATTTTTGGCGTGGTGAGGCGAGGCATCGAAACATCTTGCTGCGATACTTTTGTTGTGAAAGGTCGATACTGGGTACGAGTAAGTAGTCTGCGTCGAGCCTCACATCGCTACCGGTACAGGTACAGAGACGGCCGCGGGGCCTGCGAGGACGTGCGGGATGGCGGATGTGACAGCAGTCGGAGTGAGAGGTCGAGAACCGCCAATTCTAGCTAGCTGTCAGCTAGCTTGTTAACACTGTTGGCTAGCTGGCTATCTGAAGGCAGCCTGCTGGTGTTGCAGTTAAAGGCTAAATTAGCCACCATACAAAAAAAGCAGCACGGATAATTTCGCTCTTACTCATATAAGAGATATCGTCGTCCTGTCAACAAGGGCTTATTTGCCCAAACCTAGTGGCTAATAGTAACCAGCTTGAAAGGCTGAGATGGTGCCCAGGTTAGCCTGTTAGCCTCACCTGATTTATGATACTAGCTATCAGCAGGAAATGTTAGCGGTCGCTCAGTCATTGCTGTTGGTACGTTTGATGTGCGTTGGTGGTGAGGCTGGTTCGTTATGCTGCTTATTTTACAGGATGTTAATTTTTTTTTGTTCCCTAGGTTCAGGAATGGAGACCCTCCTCAAGGACAGGAAGCCTCTTTTAGAAGTAACATTAGGCTGCATCATCTCCTGCTGTCTCATATTTTGTCCTGGTCAGATATGTGTCACCAGATAACAGGGTCACGAGTATTTGCTGCTATGCAGAAAGGTAAGAGTAAAGAGAAGTATAGATTCCAGAGAAGAAGGGGGGGCTGTGGGATGAGGTAGTAGTTTGTATAGTTTTAGGATCACACCAGATCTGGGAGATAACTATACAGCCTACTGTCTTTCTCACGGCAACCAAACCCATCACCTACATGATGGAGATCTCCAGCCTGTCCACTTTGCGTTCAGTTGCCATTTGTGACCAACAGTGAGGATAATTTGCTTGTTATATTCTGTATCTTGCTGTCCTGGTGTGTCCCTGGCTGTTAACTAATTTGTCTTATGAATGATCTTGACTAGTCATATTCACTCTTTCTATTAAATTAGCTTGATTTTCTCAGAATCCCCTGCTGCAAACATGTAGAAAATGATGCACTAAGATATATGCAAATACCTAATCCTTGACATAGCTTATTAAAATTGTAGCTCAATTGTACACGTCTTAAAATTAAGATTTAGACTTAACTGTACGATGGATTCACATGTAGGTTGCTATGTTTGGTGGGGTTTTTTAATAATTTGCTGGGACAGATGTGTCTGTAGCTGTGATGTGGTGAGGTAGCAAGTTGTGTTGTTGTGGGGTTTGGGATATTGCAACCCTTATTTTGGAGATACAACTATACAACTTACTGCCTTCCACAATGTGGCAGCATAATGCTCCAACCTCTGCAGTGGCTAGTAAATGTTAGATTTTCTGCAGTGTGTATTGCATGATTTGTCATTTTTATATTGGAGCTGTTTTTTTTTTTTGATTGAAAGAAAATGTGTGTGCAATTATTATTTTTATAATTAACTGGTTCCAGCTTCTCCAACGTGAGTACTTTCTGCTCTGTTCTCTGTGACACCTTCTTCTGACTTGTTTTGTCCGACCAACAGTCTGAAACCCCAAAGATAGTTTAGTGATATAAAACAGGAAGCAGCAAATCTGTACATTGGAAAAGCTGCAAACAGAGAGTGGTAATGGCTTATTATTTAAAAGCAACTTCTCTATTCACCTTGAAAGTGGGGGAAGTTGTGGCAGAAATCCTTATCAATTTAACTGTAAGCGGTTATAATTTGAGAAACATCCAAGGATTGAATTTTATATTGTTTTAAATGTTGTATTTTTGCATCCATTTTTAAAAATAAAGCATATTTCTAATGACTGTAAATATTGTTTATGTACTTTGAGATATTTACTTTGTGACAGGGGAGCTTGTAGTCTAATCAGTTTAGTTAAATGAAGGACTTCTGACTGCAAGGTTAAAATGTGTTTGGTAAAATCTGTCGGTGTGTCAAACTTAAGGCCATTTATTTTCTAAACTGTACAAAAACTGAACAGACTTCCTGCAGTCACCATATTAAAAAGTCTTAAATGTCTAAATAACCACACAAAACCTCCTGAAGCATCAGTGTCTCAGTTCAAACTTCAGAATCACCAGTTGGTTGCCTGAGCTGACCTTGGTGAGCTGCTGTGATTGGACAACCCCCCTCATTTATCCTGCGAATCAGGCGATACCCGGAGGGGGCGTTGTCTCAAACGCAGAAGGATTGGTCAAATCAGAACAGAGTGGGCGGGGCTTAAATGCTTTTCTGCACTGCATCATCCACGAGGTGACCAAAGAGGAGTGAATATTAAAGAGCTCTCACACTGTCTGTATTTCAGACACGTGAATATTGAGGCACCAAGAATTTACAGTATAATAATGTCTTTTAAAAAGTTTGTTCTTTAGGGTTATTTTCTCCCTAAATTAACTAGTGTAAGAACATTTTAATTTACAAAGAGATGTCTGGTTGGAAGTCAATTGCACTAAAGACCATTTATATCTGGATTAGTTAGATCAGTATTTGATTATGGGTGTGGTTTTTTGGATCTGCAGCAAATGTATCTTTCAAACGTTTAGATCACATTTAGTATCAGGCTTTTAGATTATATTCAGGTGCCTTTACTGCATCAGCAACATTACAAGTTGAAATGGGAGAAATTACTAGGAAAGGCCACAGCTTTCACTTAATTACAGGGTTAATTTCTTACAGCAGTGGTTCTCAGAGTGGGGTCCGGGCTCCTTGAAGGGGTTCCAGGGGGACCCCATCAAATAGAGGATTAATTTATTTTCACTTCCATTCATAAGTAACACAGGGACATAACATAGGACTATTTTGGTCATGGGTTGTATATACTTTTTGTAATAGAAACATCTAAATGCAAAAATCCTATAATAAGGGGTGATACTGGGAGAAAATCTTGTCAAACGGGGGTCAGTGGTCTGATTTGTGTCAGTTTAGGGGTCCTTGATAAAAGTTTGAGAACCACTGATAAACAGGGATCATCTAACACGAGACACATTTAAGCCTTGCTGGGAAAAGGAGTGTAAAAAAAAAAAAAAAAAAGCTTGAGATGATCTCATAAGCATTACGGTGCTGTTACCAGCAATGCAACCACAGATACTTCCTGATCCCACAGTAGGTTTTACATCAATTGAAAATAAGAACAAAGATGTGGGAGTTTTTATTCAACAATAAAGACCTATATTGAAATCACTACTACAATTATAGTCAGGTGTGTACAGATGCTTTAAATAATGTAGTCAATAAAATCAGAAGTGCATTAATTTTTCCAGAGTTTAACCTTTAAGGTGGGGGAAACAATCAGAGATGGTTTATCAGTTTACAACTGCGAAATGCTCACAATCTCAGTCAAGAATTTCAATGGATCAAAGACACAAGACTATTAAATTCACAAGATACCCAGCAGACAAATATAGCCTATAAAGTACAATTGTATACACGCATATAGGCCTACTCTACATAGCCACCCACATCATGTTATAAATCAGAATCAGAAGGAGCTTTATTGCCAAGCAAGGAATTTGCTTTGGTGATAAGGTGCTACACATAGACAAACATACAGTTGACATAAATAAATGTAGAAATATACAAATATGGAATAAACAAATGCAGGTTATATAAGAATAATAAATGAATAGAGAAAAATAACGCAACTATTTGCAGAAAAAGAAAAATGTGGCAGATCTTTACATGTGCATTACTCCAGTTTGTGTCGTGCAGACATACAGTGGGTACGGAAAGTATTCAGACCCCTTTAAATTTTTCACTCTTTGTTTCATTGCAGCCATTTTCCAAAAATCAAAAAAGTTCATTTTATTTCTCAGTAATGTACACTCAGCACCCCATCTTGACAGAAAAAAACAGAAATATAGAAATTTTTGCAAATTTATTAAAAAAGAAAAACTGAAATATCACATGGTCATAAGTATTCAGACCCTTTGCCGTGACACTCATATTTAACTCAGGTGCTGTCTATTTCTTCTGATCATCCTTGAGATGGTTCTACACCTTCATTTGAGTCCAGCTGTGTTTGATTATACTGATTGGACTTGATTAGGAAAGCCACACACCTGTCTATATAAGACCTTACAGCTCACAGTGCATGTCAGAGCAAATGAGAATCATGAGGTCAAAGGAACTGCCTGAAGAGCTCAGAGACAGAATTGTGGCAAGGCACAGATCTGGCCAAGGTTACAAAAAAATTTCTGCTGCACTTAAGGTTCCTAAGAGCACAGTGGCCTCCATAATCCTCAAATGGAAGACGTTTGGGACGACCAGAACCCTTCCTAGAGCTGGCCGTCCGGCCAAACTGAGCTATCGGGAGAGAAGAGCCTTGGTGAGAGAGGTAAAGAAGAACCCAAAGGTCACTGTGGCTGAGCTCCAGAGATGCAGTCGGGAGATGGGAGAAAGTTGTAGTAAGTCAACCATCACTGCAGCAATCCACCAGTCGGGGCTTTATGGCAGAGTGGCCTGACGGGAGCCTCTCCTCAGTGCAAGACACATGAAAGCCCGCATGGAGTTTGCTAAAAAACACCTGAAGGACTCCCAAGATGGTGATAAATAAGATCCTCTGGTCTGATGAGACCAAGAGAGAACTTTTTGGCCTTAATTCTAAGCGGTATGTGTGGAGAAAACCAGGCACTGCTCATCACCTGTCCAATACAGTCTCAACAGTGAAGCATGGTGGTGGCAGCATCATGCTGTGGGGGTGTTTTTCAGCTGCAGGGACAGGACGACTGGTTGCAATCGAGGGAAAGATGAATGCGGCCAAGTACAGGGATATCCTGGACGAAAACCTTTTCCAGAGTGCTCTGGACCTCAGACTGGGCCGACGGTTTACCTTCCAACAAGACAATGACCCTAAGCACACCGCTAAAATAACGAAGGAGTGGCTTCACAACAACTCTGCGGCTGTTCTTGAATGGCCTATGGCTTATGACCATGTGATATTTCAGTTTTTCTTTTTTAATAAATTTGCAAAAATTTCTACATTTCTGTTTTTTTTCTGTCAAGATGGGGTGCTGAGTGTACATTACTGAGAAATAAAATTAACTTTTTTGATTTTTGGAAAATGGCTGCAATGAAACAAAGAGTGAAAAATTTAAAGGGGTCTGAATACTTTCCGTACCCACTGTATTGCAACAGAAGAGGATGTTGCATACATAAATATATAAACTGACAATATAAATTTTTTTTAATAAAATAACGATTAAGTGCCAGATTTGTGCATGATATCAAATGAAGAAAAATTTAGATATGCAGAGACATAAATTTAACCATTTAGTATTTCTTTCTTTGCACTTTGCATTTTTATTGGTTTGCAATTCACAGAACCAGACGACAGAAATAGACATTGTATGCTTTATATATATATATTTACACATATTTTCACCTACTTTCATGAACATAATACATTTATTTTCATATATCTATCTATTTCCAGCAAAGCTGATTCTGACTCTGACACCAGTTGGTGGCGGTAATGCGCCATCTTGTTACATGCCCACCGCCCAAAAGAAGAAGACATCCGGTGACGCCGCCGTCAAATGCGCGAGCTTCGGTGTGACGTCACTGTCTGAACGAACATGGCGAACATTCGGTGTGTCAAGGTGAGGAAAGAAACCTGTCCGCGCGCAGGAGGGACTCTGGCAGAATGTGATGCGTTGAGACTTTTACTGTGTTGTGATGTGCGCGCCTTGTTTTCTTCCTCCTGCTGGTTCGCTCTCCTCGTAGCGCAGAAGTGCAAGTTGTGCAAGTTGGCTAATAACGGTAACATGTTGGGAGTGAATGAGGGGACGCAGCGCCCTCAGCCGTGTGTTGTGCTAAACCTTTGGCCTCTCAGTCACACTGACCGTGACATAAAGGGTTAGTCCAGCTAAATCACAAAAGCAATGAATGAATGAATAATAATCCTATCTGGCCTTGCAGATACTTTTTTTTTGCCTCGGTTTTGACGCTTCCCTTTCTACGGAAGCTCCTCTGCGGTGTTTTATTTTTGCTCTTCTCTCTGGTTTAAAGTGGTCACTTGCAAAAATGTGATGTCTCACATTACCCTGCACCAATCAGAGTTTAGCCACATTTTAATCAAAATGTGATGGTGTTGGATTGTTTGTCTGATCAAACTCCACCCGCAGAGTCCTGATGAAGGAAAGTGCATAGTTGTCAAATCCAAGTGGCTGATTTTGTCTGATTTTTGTCCACTTTTTAAAAAAGTATGTTAAAATGTTCTGAAAAATAGTTTCCACTAAGAAATTTTAACAAACAAATGAAAATGATTTGAGAAATGTTTATTTGCACAATAACAAAACATGCAATTTAAATATTGAAGAAACAAACGTGTAAGTTAAGCTAAAAAAAAGCTGCGGACTACTGCATTATATTCTGTTATATTTTTCAATTGTCCCCTGCCATCTGATTTGTTTGTTTCCCTTTATATAAGTAAAGACATTTCTGCCATAAATTGGCGAAGAAAATGTCTATAAATGTCTATACAATTTCCCTGTGAACAAACAAAAAAGCATTTTGTGTACCCTTTTTTTTCCCTCATAAAACTTTTGCAAAACTGACAAAACCCAAATATATTATTTTACTTATTTTTTGCATTTGAAATGAATCAGATCAGTGTTGTCTCTCCTTTCACCCATCTTTCACAGTGACCCATGTTTTTTTTTTTCCTTTGTTTTTCTTTTTATTTCCTTTTTCCTGTCCTGCCCTCCTTCCCCTGGTCCATTCCTGTCCGTGTGCGTGCAGGGCATGGTCGGCCTGGTGACGGGCGGTGCGTCCGGTTTGGGCCGAGCCACTGTGGAGCGTCTGGTGCAGAACGGAGCGTCTGCTGTGATCCTGGACCTGCCCTCGTCTGATGGACCGGCTCTGGCAGCCAGTCTGGGGGACCGCTGTGCCTTTGCTCCTGCAGACGTGAGTCCAAAACGCACCAGACACAGTAGAGGTGGACACGTTCACTCATACAAATATGCAAGCGGGGCACGGTGTGGGATAATAATTTAGCTGTCAGCACAGACCAATGAACCACGTCCAGTTGTTCTTGATTTTTAACCCACCTGGATGACTGGGAGTCTTCACTCACACAGACCAAGCAGTATATACTGTAACCATTTTGTTGATATAGTGTTTACTATTATGCCAGTAAAAGTGTTATTACTACACATAAAAACATCCAAAATTGTAAAGCCACTTAACAGTCTGTCAAAACGCTACAGGAGTTAAGAGGCTTTACAGTCTGTACAGTGTACGACAACCTCTATCTTGGACCCTCAATTCAGATAAGAAAAAACTCTGCCCAAAAGAACATGAATGAGGGAAGATCTGATATCTCTCAGTAACTGGAGGTACTTCCATCTGAGAGAAAACGGTATACTGCTCTTTATTTTCAATATTATTTCCATGTGTACACAGCGACACGGCCTGCTTGCATGTATGTCTTTATACACTAACCATTTTCGCTTTTGCTCGTGAGCATTTCTGTATTTTTGCAGCATTTAGTGTCACTTTCCTGGCGGGTTTTAATCCCTTTTATTCCTTTCGGCTCCACCTTTTCTCTTTCTCTCTTTCGCCTGCGCTGTCAGTTTTCCTCCACACTGCTCGTCCATGCGTGTGATGACAGAGATCATACCATCAGGTTAAAAGTCTATGGTTCTGAGGGACTGCCCTTTTAAACGTTTTAATGTCTTTCAGCTCTAAACAAGCAGATGGATACAGTTGGTGCATTATGCAGCCAAATATTTCACCTCAGTGATTAGTAGAAACTAAACCAGAGATAAAAAGAGATTAATATTAGACTTAAATTCATCAGGTGGAGACGGACACAATTTTAAATGAATGCTAAAGTTGCTTTTTATCTGCTGGATGTGTAAATAATTAGCACTTTTGCCATCTCAACTTTATAAGGTGATGATATGTAAATAATATAGTTGGTATGTGAATGTTGTGGTTACAGATTTTTTGCCCCAAAGTGGCTAAAAAAATCTGTTAAATTAGATTTAAGAGAAACATTTAAAATACAGGTCAAGGCTGCAGCGGTGACTGGAGGGGTCATGTGCACTCTGCTCAGTAGGTGGCACTCTCGCACAATCCAGCACCATCAGTACTGCATGGATGTAAAGTTCTTCTCTTGTTCCATTGTTCATGCTAGACCAGGGGTTTTCAGTTAGAATTCAAAGAGGTCTAGTTAGAGAAAATTTCCCGATGCAAAGGTCCAGAACATCATAACGACTAACTTGTGTTATCATTTATTGCCAGAACATATAGTTGTATCAACATTTGTTTTTAGTCAACAACTGACTGTCAAATCAAATAATAATAAATATATAATAAACAATATTCAGTTTTCACATCAAACCGGAGGGATAATAAATAACTACTCTAATAATAAATTCAAAATTTAAGTAAACTAAAAGAAAGTGCTTAATTTCCCTGGAGATGACTGCGGTCTGTCAATTAGTGACGTCTCTGCCAGACCAAATGAATTGTTTCCTCAGTGCATTTACACACGTGTTCTTGGTTATATCTATTTTTTTTATCACAGACTCGTGTTATTGTTATGTCTAAAAGGGCTCTGTCATTTCCCAGGTTACGTCGGAGGCAGACGTACAGTCAGCGGTGTCGCTGGCCAGAGAGAAGTTCGGGAAGCTGGACCTGGCAGTTAATTGTGCCGGCATCGCTGTCGCCGTTAAAACCTACAACTTTAAGAAGGACCTGCCTCACAGCCTGGAGGACTTCCAGCGTGTTATCAATGTAAGACGAACACACAGCAGATGCATACGGTGGAACAAGAAACGCCAGTTGCAGCTGTGTGACTTTCCCCTGCGTGTTTTCTGCAGGTGAACATTGCAGGAACCTTTAATGTGATCCGCCTAGCTGTGGGTGCGATGGGGAAGAACGAGCCTGATGCGGACGGACACAGAGGCTGCATCATTAACACAGCCAGTGTGGCAGCTTTTGATGGACAGGTCATTTGAAACGCACACCAACATAAAACAAATCACAAAGTGGCCTCTCTGTTTCTCACGTTTTCTTTTTTCTTTTCTTCAGGTCGGCCAAGCGGCGTATTCGGCGTCTAAAGGTGGCATCGTAGGAATGACTCTCCCCATCGCACGAGATCTGGCACCCATGGGCATCAGGGTCATCACCATAGCACCCGGTTAGTGTTAGTTACATAGTTAAAGAGTGTAAACATTCACTAAGGGGTAGGACCAAAAAAGTGTTGAAGAAACTGGCCTGTCCTTTCCATGTGTGGCTGCATGAACAGGTGCAGGCGGCAGCACCTGGAACACACGTGTGTATGGATCTAGTTTACAGAAACATTTTATTTATGTCTATCTAAAAGTTGTTTTTACACTTCGGTTTTTGTACAGATGAAACAAACAAGATATCGAATATTTGTAGAGGTGCTGGTAGGCATTTTTTTTTTTTTGCCTTTGGACAGTGCCAGGCTAGCTGCTAAGCTAAGCTAAGCTAACCTGGCTGTAGCTTTATATTTACCGTACAGAGGCTCTTTTCCTTTAAAAACAAGGTATGAATATTTATTTGCGCTTTTAAATAGAGCTTAGAAATTTTCCTAAAACAGCTGGTCACTGCAGTTTTTTGCAGAAGTTATCAAATAGTAAAACTTAAATTTGCACTATTTTCAGCGGGGGATTAACGATCTGAGTTAACTTAAGGTTTGAACATTAAATAACTTCCTTGGTGTCTAAATCTGAATTTTTTTTTTCTCTCCCTCATCCTCCAGGTCTGTTCGCCACTCCCCTCCTGGCTGGTCTTCCAGAGAAGGTGCGCTCCTTTCTCGCCCGCCAGGTGCCCTTCCCCTCACGGCTGGGAGACCCCGCCGAGTTTGCCCACTTGGTCACGTCGCTGGCTGAGAACCCCATGATTAATGGAGAGGTCATCAGACTGGACGGAGCCATTCGCATGCAGCCCTGAGCCAGATGGGGGGTGTGTGTGTGCTGTTGTTGTTTGGGGTATTTGTTGTTGTAGAAAACTGCATACAGTAAATGTACACTAATGGGTCATAAGCACCATTTAATCAGGGTTGTGAGTGAGAGAGGTGACTGAATGAGACTGTACACAATTCAGAGCATTGCAGTACTTTGTTTGTAAACTAATCCAGATAATAAACCTCAGATACTTTGATTTATTCCAAGAAGACTTTTTTTTTTTTTTTCCTTACAGTAAAACCCCAAAGTTTAAAATTTCTTTTTTATTCGTCTTTCAAATCATCCTGAGCACAAGTTTGATTTGAGAAATTAATATGCCTTTATTCCAGATATCAGAATTTGCCACAAATACATTAAACACTTGCACATTGGACGGTTTTTAGCAAGTATTGGGGGCTGCTGGCTACACACTGTTGAATCAAGTCAAAAAGAATAGCACGGAGAGAAGAAATACATAAATAATTGACATAAGAGATCGAATAAAAGATGCCGCAGTTTTCAATAACTTCAGAGGTTTAATTGTTGGAACAAAAAGGCACAAAACACAAAGAGCTGTACTTGTCACAAAGTCACAGCCTACCACAAATTAAATTCAATCCCATTCCCTAACAGAGAAATACTTATTTTACTGCCAATGGAGAAGCCTGTTCCCAGCACCTTGACCTCCACACCTGTCAGACCGACGCCAATTCCTGTGTCTGCTGCCAGACCCACTGTAGCTTTCACTGGACCAGCAGAGGCCGAAGCACTGGCCACTTCTGCTTTGGCAAAGGCTCGAGCGCTGAGAGATGTCACAGAGGCTCCGATTCCCGCGCTGGCGTTGGGCCCTTTGGCCTCAGCATCAAAAACGCTCCATTCAGCTCGTGCATAACCCATGCCTGCAGCGGCGTACACTCCTGCCTTGGGAAGGCGCTTTCCAGGTTCATCCTCAAATGCCTCTGCAAATGTGTTGGCACCTGCATAGGTCCCAGCAGCAAAAGCTTTTCCAGGACGGTCAAAGGTGTCGATCAGTTCCTGCGCCCCGGGGTCCCCGATGCACACGTCTTCACCTGAATATTGAACTGCATAGGCTGCAAACAAACACACATTACATCTGAAAAATAACTGGAGAAAGATGTAACCAGGCATACATTTCTTCGTTGTATCTTGATTTTTTTAGTTTCAACAGCATGCAGTTCAGTAAAAAGTCTACTTTACTAATTAAAAGATGATACACTTACCCTCAGCTCTTTTACCTGAAATGAAAGAGTAAATCCTTCAAATGTCAGTATTCACTTAAAAATTCATAAAATGTTACAAAACTTCCACAGTTTGTGCTGTAGCCTGTGTGTCGTCATAATTATATACACTTCAGTCCATAAACCCTCAATCTGCAAGTTTAGTTTTTGAATGTTAGCAATGTATTCAAAGTTACACTGATAGTGCTATTTTTTTAGGAAATATAATATATACCAATTTGAGCAAAGTATGTCCACAGAACATTATGCTTCTAGATTATGTTTGCCTACCTGGCATCTTCAGGGCAGATATTGTGCTCTAAAAGAAAAGAGGAAAGGACGATAAACACCAGATTAGAATTGAGTCAACTAGAAAATACCACAGGATTATCATAACATTTGGTGCAGAAGTTCATGTTCCCCTCAGGATGAATTCTAATAACTTCCCTACCAACCCCACTTTGCAGTTAGTGCTCATTAGCAAATGTTGGCATTCTTACATTATAAAGTAAAGATGGTGAACAGTATCTGCTTAACATCAGCATCTTAACATAGTGACACTATGAGAATGCTGAAGTCTAAGCTCAAATCACCAGTGTGCCTACAGCTTTGAGTCTGTTGACTGCTCGTGTGTTAAATGTTCTGCAAACCATGTTTTCTGTGTGAAAGGTGGAGAGAAAATGTGAAAACAAACCAGAGATCATCACAAAGTTCAGCGAATCCAACGCAAGTTTGCTGAATGGTTCAAATCAGTGATAAGAAACTGCAAAGCACAAGTGTACACCACTGCAAAAATGCATTTTTTGTCTTCCACCACTGCCATACATTTGACATGCATGGCAGTGGTGGTGAAGTCCTAAGCAATTAAGCGGCAATGCTGTTCACCTATATGTTAAATAAGGAGAAATGTTTGTAGACCGACACATGTTGATAATAAGTACTGAAACTTGTTAATCTGGAGGTAATAGTAATAATAACATATTTATATGGTAACTTTAAAGAAATCCAAGGACACATGCCTGAATTAACTATTTATGACACGATAAATATTTTTAGAAAAGCTACTGCCTATGGGAGTTTCCAGGCTGTGGTGAACAGATGGTGTTTGGGGAGTTTTTTTAAACATGTCCAGGGATGAAGCATTGCAGATATCTGCAGAGACGCCATTTTAGAGGGTCGGGGCTGCAATACTGAAGGCGCTGTCTCTGAAGGTACGGAGTCTGGTGTGGGGAATGGAGAGCAATGTCTGTATCCTGAGGAAGGAACATTTGATTTAGTATTTCCCATTCGCATCATAGTAGCTTTATTTGAGCTTAAGGACTCAGTTTGGATCTCTCCACAACCAGTAGGACCAGGGCTTACTTTGATAGGAGTATTGATTCAAAGCAGACTTATAAAAATGTGAAGACGCATAAAAGTTACTTTTCATCCTTTTCCACTTTCCATTTATCTTCATAAGATGCAGACAGCTTACCTTTTTATGTCGCTTGTCCAAGTATGTTTCTGGTTCTTCCCCTGGACTCAATGCTGTTCCTCACTTTTCCATTAGGGAGCAAAGATGTGTCCATTTAAGCACATTGTTCTTGATGAAATTTGATCCAAGCTCCCTCCCCTCTCGGCAAGGCATGACCCAAAAGGCACTGACGAACAATTCAAGGAAGTGTTGCTGTAACAAACTCTCATATTTAGCAGCATGTTTCCTTTAAAATTTGTCAGAACTCAAAAAGAAAACGAGGTGATGAACACAGTAATCAGTTAATGTGTTTAATTAAACACATTAGAATTTAACTCTAGAACTACTGCTTTCTTTTACTCAAGTCAAAATATTTATTCCACCACTGAAAGAAATCTCCAAGAAGCTGAACATTGTCATATTTTGCAGAGATAAAATATTGGATGTGGGTTGGGTCTGTACACTGGTTGGCAGAAACAGGAGGCTTGTGTGGTGGCATCTGTAGGTACTAATACATTTTACTTACTTCACTCTACTCTGTTACAAGTAGTAGCCCTATATTCAAGATTTTGCTCCACTAAAAGTACCAATGTATTACCAGCAAAATGTACTTAAAGTATTAAAGTATACTTGTGATATACTTTATGTTATTATATACTGTATATCACTTTTAAATTTTATTAGCTTTAACATTTAAGTAACTTTTAAATGTTACAGCTGGGTGAAGTGGAGCACTTTATAACCACTTCATATACTGTTGAATAGTTTAATCTATAGCACAGTGTCATATTTTATAAATTGAGTTCTGTTTGTAAAATCAATCTATCCAATTATATAATGCAAAGTAACCAGTAACTCCATCTGTCATGTAAATGTGGTGGAGTAGAAATATAAAATAGCCTGAAAATACTGAAATACTCTAGTCAAAATTGTACTTAACCCCTCTATGGTACACATTATTTTGCCAGTGGATCAAAAAATGATGTTGTTTTTTTGTCATTAAATGGACCAAGTAACATAATTTACATTTATGACGCTTTTATCCAAAGTGACTTACAATTGCTATACATGGCAGAGGTCACACGCCTCTGGAGCAACTAGGGGTTAAGTGTCTTGTTCAGGGACACAATGGTGGATGTCTCACAGTGGGAATCGAACACCAAAGGCAAGCATCTTATCCATGCGCCATCACCGGTCCGGCCGACCCCTGCTCCTCGTGTTCTGTTGGCGGATCGACCGGCTTCAGCCCCGCCGGTGGTCCGGCCGACCCCTGCTCCTCGCACCAAGGCCCTCAGCCCAGCAGCCTCATCCCTGACTCCCCCCGCTGCTGTCACGCTGCTGGCCCCTAGCCTGGCTCCCCGGCCTCTGGAGAGGTCGTCTCGCCTTGCTGCCCGGCCTCAGGAAGGGTCGTCTCGTCCCTTAGCCCAGCTCTCGGGCCGCCCGCCCCAACTCTCTGGCTCTCCTTCTCCGCCCTCGGGCGGCACAGCTCTGTCCTCGGGCTGCCCACCGGACCTCCCTGGCTTCCCTGCTCTGTCCTCGGGCTGCCCGCCGGAGCTCCCTGGCTCCCCTGCTCTGTCCTCGGGCCGCCCCCCTGAACTCCCTGGCTCCCCCAGTCCGCCCTCGGGCCGCCCGCCGGAGCTCCCTGGCTCCCCTGCTCTGTCCTCGGGCCGCCCCCCTGAACTCCATGGCTCCTGGTCCGCTCGGACCCTCAGGTCCCTCTGCTTTGCCCTCGGGACGTCCGTCCGAACCCCCTGGTCCCTCTGCTCCGCCCTCAAGACCCCCTGGTCTCCCAGCTCCTCCCTCTGGCACCCCATCTGTACTCCCTGGCCCCCCAGCTCTGCCCTCTGGATGTCCGTCTGTTCTCCCTGGTTCCCCAGCTCAACCCTCTGGCACCCGGTCTAGCCCTAGGTCCTCAGTTCAGCCCTGCCCGTTCCCCTAACCCTTCCCAGTCCTGAAGCCCTCCCTGAATTCCCTGTGTTTTGTTTTTGGACCCCCACCAGCCGGACCCCAGTGCGACTTCCTCCCCCCGATGTTGGTCTGCCGAGCCCCGCCTCGTCCAGTGGGAAGGCTGCCGGGAGGTCGTCCGTTGAGGAGGGGGCCCTGTTGTGGTGGCAGCCCGGCTGACGATGAGTGTCCTGGTTTTTCTCCTATTTATCAGTTATTCTGCTTTTTCCTTGGTTTTCTGTTCCCTGTGTTTTCTCCCCTGTGTTTTCTCCCCTGTGTGTGCTCTCTCCCTCTGCTCCTGAGCCCAGCCAACGACCCGCACCTGCACCTCATCAGCCACCTCGTCAGCCTGCCACACCTGCCAGTAGTCAACCTCATCCCTGCCTGTATTTCTACCCCGGTTCTCCACACCACTCTGCTTGATCGTTGTTGCTCCATACCTGGTGCCACCTCCACGTTCAGGCGCTCACGTTTCTTATTTCTTTTCTCACATTTTCCCTGTGCTTTGTCTCTGTCATCTCTAACCCTGTCTCTCTGTCTGTTTCCCTCCCAGGTTCACTCACCCTCGTCCTCCGTTCAGTCGGCTGGGCTCATCCACCGGCCCTCTCCTCCTCGGACTTCCCCCACGGCGTCCTCCCTGTTCTCCCACCGCTCCTCGCTTCCTCGGCCCCAGTGTTCCCCGGCTCCCAGTCTCCTTGGTTCCCCGTGCCAGTGTTTCCCTGACATCCACCTCTCCCTCCACTCCAGTCCCTCTACCCCTTTTTCCCTCAATAAACCTCCTTCCCTCAGAGTGCTGTGTTTGGGTCCTCTCTGTCCCCACACCACACAACCTCATAACAATACCAAAATGACATGATATTTCTTCAAGGCAACTATTTTTCTATTACATAATTATAATCTTGGTCATAACATGGCACAAAAATATGTTTTGAGGGTAGTTTAGTGCAGAGAGAAAATGGAGCTGAGTCATGTGTCAAAAGCAGCAGTAAAAGGATTCCTAATGGGAGCCAGGGAATCGTGTGACAAATATTAACACTGCTTTGTTGAATTAAGGTTTAAAGGTCAAGTTTCTGGGAACACCCCTGCAAATCTTTTAAAGTAATGCATCATATTTTGGTTTGTGGAGGTGCTACTAGGGCAAAAAGGGTATGTTGCCAGAGGCAACATCATAGAGGGTTAAGTACAGAGCTTAAAGAGAAATCTTCTTACTTACTTTCCACCACTGCTAGTTATTATGTGATAAAACTCAAAAATACAAAAGATGTATGTAATCAGGTCATTGGCCCAAATTAATAACAGTTATACCCTATTTCTTTACTACCCATGGGCCAAGTTATTGGAGTAACAGTTACTGCCCCTTCATGTGCACAAAATCTTTTTTAGCAGTTGACAAGGACAAACTCCTTTCCTGTGATAAATGTAAATATCTTTCTTTTATAATATATTTTGTTTATAATCCACTTCCAGTGTGTTGATGTGACACACACACACACACACATATGTGACCGGTTTTTAAAAATGCAAAAATAAAATGATTTTAAGAAAGAGGTTTTTTGGTTAGCATAGAAGGCACTAAACACAACCTCACAAGCTGTATTTTGTATGAAGCCACAGTTTACATAATACTCCATTGAAGCTCAGATCCAAGGAGAGAAATACTTGTGGGTGTTCCCAGAAACTTTAAACCTTCTACACCGATACGGTCTGCTCCCAGACCGACTTTAGCTTTCACTGGACCAACAGAGGCTGAGGATCTGGCCAGTTCTGCTTTAGCAAAGGCACCGAAAAAGGAAGAGAGGCTCCAACTTCTGCGCCCACTCCTTCACCAGCATACACTCCTGCCTTGGGAAGGCGCTTCATAGATTTATTATTACCTCCTTCTGCATGTTTCCCAGAAAATGTATAGGTACCAACAGCAAATGAGTTACCACGCCTGCCAGCGGTGTCAATCATCTCCAGCATTTTGGGTATGGTGCCCAGTGCATCAAGAGAAACTTCTGCACTTCTTTGCACAACTGCAACAACAACAAAGAGACACTACATTTAGTCTCAAAGAGGACTAGAGAACAACCTTACCAGTAGATTACATTCTAATGTGGAGTGGCAATTAGGATAATTGTTACAAAATTTGGACAAAAACCATCTGATAAACTGCATTTCATTGACATTTTCTGAGTTGGAGTTGCTCAGGAGTTATCAAGCCTAAATGTTTCAATTCCATAAAAGTATTAGGTAGGATTCAGTATTTTGGCACTATTGTGAAATTTCTTATTGTCGAAAAAAAAAGTATTTAAATTTAAACTTCTCATGAAATCACACCTGTTTCTCAAAATATCAGCACTTTGAACAAAATCGGCTCAGTGGAGTAACACTTTGTTTGACATAAAACAATTTAAAAAGTACTTTACTTACCCTCAGCTCTAAGGTCTGAAAGAATGAAAAGGCAAACTTTAAGTCACATGATGTGTCAAATTCACAATGTTATAACAACAGACTTGACATTTTGACTTTAATGTGAACATTTGCTATATACAATGTTTGTATAGTGTGAAGATACTTTTCACACTGTTCAATAAAAAACAAAGGACATATTGTTTGTTTTCCTCCAATAAAATCTGGCAGCTCTTTGTTTCACTTTCAGTCACTGAAGTTACAAATTAACTAAATGTTTAGATAAAGTAATCTGTATCCTTAGAAGTCCTCAATACTCTGTATTTCTTAGAGGAAAGTATTGCACCTATTTTTCTGGATGATGTTTGCCTTCCTGCCATCTTCACAACAAGCAGGTTACTCTGAAAGAAAAACAGGAAATGTCAACAGCAGATTAGAACAATAGTTTCTCTGCGAGAACTGTCTCAAGTGGAATAAAAATAGCAGTGGTAATATTCAGTATAGATCTACAGCAAAGTCATTTTATTATAGTTTATATTGTATTACACAAAAAGTTATTTGTTGATTATGTTGTAGACAGAGATATGTTTTTGCTGTGATCACTAACTCACAGGTGTGTTCTATCAATATCAGGGGTATTTTGTACAAATGTAGAACGACTTCCGTATAATTTCACTTTAAAGATAAGCGCACATTGTGACTTTCGACCCCATCAGTTGGGTGGTAACACACAGGAGGGTTGAAAGTAAAATAACTCGATTATTTGTGTTAATCTGTTGGTATAATATAACATAAACAAGAAGAAACACTTGTGGTCTCTGTAGTGGGACTAAAGCAACACTTGTTACTTTTGGCTAAAGTAACAAGTGTTACTTTCGTCCCAAAAGGAACTCCTGACATATCAACACGATTTATTTTTACACTGAAAAACTCTGACATGGCAAACTTCAGGATGTGTTAAAGCACTAAATAACCTGTAGATTAATCATTACTGTGAGACATGAAAAGAGAGACACAACTTGTAATTCGAAAAACAGTAGGCTTCGGAAATTTGATTGCAATGCTCGAAAACTGTTTTCCGAAGACGGCCGCGGGAAACAATGCCGAAATCATGCGATTTTTGGCAGTTCCATCAAGGGTTGCATGCTGAAGGTGCTGTCACAGCTTTGACTGCAAATGCAGTCAGGGTCCTGAGAAAATCGCCTTGTTACTTTTGTCCCGTGTAGCCCCGGGTTTACCCCTACTGCTAATGGAAAAGCATCATATGTGACCCCGTTTAGTTCCGTCAACTTCAGACTGCATTTCCCACAGGGATCATTTCAGAATCAGAGCATTTTGTCTGTCTGATTTTGCTGACCTGTTTAGATTTTGTTGATTTGGTAATCAGTGTTTGCATTTTGTGCTTCTTTCCCTGTGGGAAATGCAGCCTGAAGTTGACGGAATGAAATGGGGTCACATAGATGTCAAATTAGTAACAAGTCAATAACATGGGGCAGGCTGCACGCTCCGCTTCTGAGGGGCTGAGGACGCATCAACACCAGCCGTAAGGTGCAGCCGTAAGGTGCAGCCGTAAGGTGCCGTAGCCGGAGTCAGTGGATTCCCGGCGTTAGCCTTTAATGTTGCAAATCTCAGAGTAGAATGAACAGTTTCTCATCAGTGGTTCACCATTGATGATCAAATAAAATGTTTTCTAATGTAATAAAATATACATTTTATTTATAAAATACAAATTGCAATAGATCTGTATAGTTATTTGTGTTCACCATAAGGCAATTGTCACTGATCTCACTGAGAAACTTTTCCCCCTCTTTTTCTTTCAGCTTGTAAATTGTTCTCTGAAATGGGTAGGTAGGCAAACCTAGAAGAATAAGTGCACACTCAGTGTACCATTTATGTTGTAAGTTGTTAATAAATGTGGCTTTAAAAGGCATGGCTGCACGATGCAAGTTAATACCAACACCTGACTGATGCATCAGAGTATGAAGACAGAGTAGCACTTCATATAAACATATGTGGTGGTTAGAGATAAAGGAACAGTAGATTAGTCAGCTGAGTTATCACTGGTGAAAAATCATAAAATAATTTTAAAGAAATGGTACGCTTGTAATAATTAATTGTAAGTAGTGACCTAGTATTAAATTCGGCAATAGTTAATCACAAAGTTCCATGGGCCCCTTTGGGATTTAGGGCCCTGAGCACTTATCTGTCCTTGCAGAGGGCTCTTCATCATGTTTATTGCACAAAGGGGTACCCCAGTTAGCACTGCACCGCAATTTTACAATTTGAAGGCTGCCCATTAGGGCACTGAATCACGTTTTCTCAAACAGTGGGTTACTACAGGGCATTTCCGTCACATTTTTTCCTCTGGGAGGGATTTCCACCAAGTGAAGTGTATATTCTCGTGCACACAAAGTCAAAAAATTACAATGTAGTAATTGTGAATTTAACATGTATCATGTATCATCAATATATATTTTAAAAGACAAACTTAACTTCCCTAAATAAGCAAATAACAAAGTTTCACTTTTCTTTCTTTCAGATGTAGAAGCTGAGGGTAAGTAAATTAAACTTTTTAAACAGTTTTTATCACATTTTATCACACAATTATTACTCCACTGGGCTGTAGGTAACAATGCGAAATTTGAGAGAAAAAGGTCACAAGATCACAAGAAGACAAAAAGTAAAAATTTTACAAGAAAGCTTTATATATTTTGGGAAGCAATCAAATAATTGAAAGAAAAGACTTTCTGACACATCAGTAGCCTATTAAAAGGTTGTATGAAAGAGGTCACTAATAGCCAGACCGGACCTGGACCCAGCCGCCGTTCTCTCCGGACCCCCGACATAGCATGTCTAAAACTAGCTATGAATTTTAATAAATGTATGAGAATTAATACCCAATTATGAATTTTAATATTCAGAAAATATCATAAAAATCTCTTGTTTCGGGGCACCACTGGAGTTGTTATTATCCTATAGAATCTCCGGACCTCTAGGTAGCTTTTAATAACTATACAATTATTCATTAGTGATCAGTTAGTTAATAATCGCTCAATTATCTTAAATCAATCAGTCAGTCTCATATCTAAAGGGTCAATTCTCTTGGCAGAAATAGTCACCACACACACCTTCCTTGATTACATTATTAACTAAAGTGATAAAAAAGGGTGGTTAAATACATCAGGGCAATAAACAATGGCTGAACAATGAGAATGGAGGTTCGATTGTGGGAAGCATTTGACTCATACGGCAGAGGAGAACTAATGAAAGTAAGCTATGAGTTTAGGAGTTAAAAAGACAATATTAACATTATGGGACATCCCTGAGCACAGAATGTTTTGTTTGGTCTTACTGCATGTCGACGGCCTGCTTTGGCCTGTTGCATGGGTCCCACGCTAGCTGCCCGATCCTGGCTTTTGCTAGGGATTCTCCGGTGTGTCTGAAGAAAAACCTCAAGGGTTGGCCGTCCTCAGTCTGGCAATTCGGCTGTTTTCAAGTTTCCTTCGTTGCTGCTGGTGAGACCACATGGCTTGGTCTGACCTCAGTGAAGTTGGCTCGACGAAAAAGCTTAAAAGGGAACTTGGTTGTTCCTGAATTAGTCCAGTGTAACTTAACGGACTGATAACTTTAACAAAACAAAAGAAAGAAAGAAAGAAAATAAAACAAGTAAAGTTGCTGGAACTGAGGTAAAAATCGATGTTGCGGCACTTTGCGTGTGTAGCTTCAAGCGAACAAAGGCTTCGTTGCGCTGGTCGAATTCTTAGGCCGTTGCCTGGAGAGCACGAGGAGAAGAGCGGGCGACATCGTGTGTCGCTCTTTTGTGGTCTGGGGCATGGTTCCCCCAGGGGGCGTTTCCGGTTTCCTGAGGGAATGCCTTTCTAAACTTTTAATGTCCATAAAAGAAAAGAAAATCTATTTGCGCGTATTATAATCAAATATTTTCCACAATCAAACCTCAATGGTCAAACGGTTGTACCGTTCTAAGTTAAGCATTTGGTAACAGGAAAACAATTGTCAAATGGGGTAATGAAACACAGAGCAAGGTCAGTTGCCACGGTTACATGTGTGTGGGGGGGCAGTTTAGGGTTTCCCGCACCCCTCTAAAGGGGAGTTCTGATAGGCTGTTCAGGGAAATGCTAATCGCTGGTTAATGTTCCTTTTGTCAGTTTAACAGTCAGGCACCACGTTATCAGGCTGTCGAATCAAAGGTGCCAGTTTTACGATCAACTGCTCATGAATAGCGCTTGGAGAAAGTGACCTCTCCACCCCTTCTGTTGTGGTCTCTTCAGCCGTCTGTAGAGGGTTGATAATCAACCCCCCCTGCTCTCAGAGAGAGGGGAATAGTTTTGAGTAGTTCAAATTTATTTAATATAAAATGCACAAATCCACACTGTTGTCCCACTACACCAAACATTTTGACTCAAGTCCGCAAGTGAGATACACACATGGACAGAGGAGACGGCAGAGAAAAGAAATTTCACATAGCTTTTAATCAAAAATGTACAGATTCTTAAATTGTGGCAATGTGAAGCACCACTATGAGATAAAGGACTGATTTGAGCCAACTTACCCACTCAAATCTGAACTGAGGGAACAGAAAATACAATAGCCAGCAGGACAAGCT